CCTTACATTTTATTTTTCTGCGATTGCATATGTAATGGAGTTGTAATTTGTGAAGTAGCTAATCGAACGTTCGACGCAACTGGTACAGGTGCTCCTTTACCTGGCTGACTAAATGCTTGAGCAGTTCTGTTTCCACTGGACGGTACCCATCCAGCTGCGTTATTTTTACTATTCAGCTTCTGTAACACCTTTAAAAATATTTACATTCTCAATGGCAAATCTTAGAAAAATTTTAATTCAGGATGTCATGTATTGAAATTACATAACATACTTTGTGCTTTATGTCGTCGCCATTCCATATGACATCATCCTCCCAATGTAATTGTGATACCATCAAAAATGCATCATCAGAAAATTCTTCGCTGTTATCTTTACTATCTTTAATATCTTTGGTATCTTGTATATCCATAATATCTGTAGTATCTAAGGTGTCTGTAGTATCTCTAATATCTTTAGTATCTTTATTGTTAGATTCTTCTGGCTATTATTATTTTTTAGAAAAATTAAATCATAATTTATGTTTGAAATATCATTATAATTCGATATAAATATAAATACCTTCTCTAACAGTTTAAATCCATAATTGAAACCATCCCCAGTTTCTGGAACTTGAAGCATATCGTACCAAAGTTGTGCAGGTCCAAAGCGCCAGTCGGCTACCTTTGGTCCCATATCTCCATTTTCTCCAGTTTCACCTGTTTTACCTACATGTTGTTTATCTTCTACCGGCATTAACAGTTTATTTTCATCATCAGTACAACACATATCTGGTGTTGGGTCTGTACCATACTGCATTATCCAACCCTAAAATAAAACTGGTTTGATAAATAATCAAATTACTGTCGCTTAAAAGTTACATCATTGTCTGTATATACTTTAAATTTTGGTTTCTTTTCATCTTGATCAGAACCAGAATCAGAATCTCTGATATCATGATGCCGTTTCTTTTTACGTCGCTTTTTAACACCTCTCCATATTTGTGGAAGGCTACTAGGCTTTCCCGGTCCAAACAATCTTGAAAACCTTAATACTTTGTTGGCACGAAAATCGGGAAATAACTCGGTGACATCAACATTGGCATATTTGGATGGTAACATAGATGCAAGAGGAGTTTCTAATTTACGCTGACGTGCAGCCTCTGCTTCTTCTGCGGTGAGTGCCTCCTTTTCTTCAGGTATTGGCGGAGGTGGCATTAATTGGGTATCAGATTTATTAACAACTTCTTCATCATCTGCATCATAGTCAGCATTTTCTTTTTCAGCTTTTTCACCAAATGTATCTTTGTCTATCCATTAAAACAATATTTAAATTAAGTTAACACTATAATACATATGTATTTATAATTTAATTTGTGTTTTACTTACTACTTTCTTCCCTCTCGTCGTCTGCTAGTTCATTTATGTCAGAAAAATCAAGCGCATTGGGTGATTTCTCAATATAGTTAATTTCTTTTTCATCAATCGCTTCAATGTCTTCTTTAGATTTATCATTAGATTCTTTTTGTCCTTCAATAGAATTATCATTAAACATCATTTCTTGAATAAATGAACTTAATCCAAGACGATTTAGAGAAGCTAAATGTTGCTTTGCTTCTGGATCAAGAATGTCATCTTCTAATTGACCATTGTCATCGATATTTCCAAACAAAAATCCAGTCATATTGATTCCAGACATTATGTCTTTATCATTTTCTTCCTCAGAATCAGCCATTTTTGGAGCTTATGCGTTAATATACAATAAGCTTTTAGAAAATGTTATTGATTCCACAAGTGTATGAATGTACAGTAGATACACAACCAATACTTAATGATTGCACAGTTTTTAATCATGAAAACGTGGTAATATTTAATATGTATATTTATTTACAGATACTTATATTCATACACATGTAATATTTATTAGTGTAATTTTATTATTTACAAGCTTTGTTAATTACAAAAGTATTTAAGTTAACGTTTTGTTTACGTAAACTCTCCCATCAACACACCGCCATGTTCTGCAACATAGCACCACTGACTACAGATAGTAGTAGACTGGACATGCCTTTGTTCTCAAAGGGTTGTAATTATTAGGGACTCAGACAAACCCAGATGCAGTGTGGCATCTATCGGAAGAACAGCGGAAGTAATACAACAAATCTTAGGTGGGCAACTTCCTGACTGCTGAAAAAACATTAAACACTGACGCTAGTAGTCCTCGTCACCTCCATAAAGCAAGCCGGAAGGAATAATAAAATATGATTATTTTTAATTTTTCTTAGTGTATTTCGTTTGTAAATCGTTTGTGATTGATTGTGAGTCTATTTATAACGTTTGTGACAAATTAGTTCTTTCGTAATTAGCAATTTTATTTCAATCATAATGTGAGCCGAAACTGTTTAGTAATTTTTTATAATAAACAGATTTTGTAATAACTGATAACTGTAATTGATTGGAAATCGTTTGTCATTTACAAATATATCATTTTCATTGTTTGTGAGTGAATAATTTCTTAAGTATTTATAAATTTGTTTTATAATAAATAATTATAGTGCGCATGCGCTACAGATCCGGTTGTACCCATCACTATCCCGAACAAGTGAGTTTCATGATTTGTTCGTTTTTAGGTCTTATATTTCGCTACTTGCTTCGGGGTCCCCGACACCCCGGTGGCGTAATATCGGTATGCAGCATCACCGGTACCTCGGGGTCTCAGATACCCCGAATGCTGTAGTGTCGGTAAGCAAAGTGTCGTTGGTGCTTCGGGGTCCCTGACACCCCGGATGCCAAAATGTCGGTAAGCAAACCGTGTCACCAGTGCTTCGGGGTTCCTGAAACCCCAAGATGATATCATGTCGGTATGTAGAGATAGTCATTGGTGCTCCGGGGTCCTTGGCACCCCGTGGGCTATAATATTGGTATACAAAGATAGTCACCGGCGTTTCGGGGTCCTTAATACCCCACTATGATGTCAAGTCGGTACGCAAAGGGCGTCTTCGGCACAGGGGGGTCCTTAACACCCCTGGGTAATATCAGGTCCGTATGAAGAGGGCACAACCAGTTTAATTTTTTTCCAGAGTTTATTTAATTTACTTCATTTATTTGTTTTTGCTTATTATATAAGCTCATAGATTGGGAATAACATTTATGATTGTATCCGTCTTCTGGGTCTCAACCGAGGACCCCATTTATTTTACTTTTTCCAGTTATTTATATAATTTTATCCCTCATTATAGGCCACGGCCATCTCAGAATCCCTTACGTACTTGCATTCCTTCCACCTCAGCATTCCTTACGTTCCTGCAACCCTTAAGTACCATTTTTTTTTTTTTTTTTTTTTTTAACGTGGTGGAAATCTTCAGAAAGACACCTTCAGCCCCCCTGGGGAGGGGCCGGAGGTAGTGTGGGATTTTTACCCACTAAAACCACCACGGTGGCCTGCACTAGGGCGGAAGGGAGGGTCCTTTGCCCTACCGCCATGTGCCAAACTCCGCCGACATCGGGGGCCACACCCGATGCCGGCACTCCGCGGGCCGCGTGCAGTGGAGACCGGGGCCCCAGCCCCGGACCCCACAGGATTCCTTTACATCCCTCGTTCCATTACATCTATGCATCCCTTACATCCCTGCATTCTTTTCATCCCTACATTCTTTTCATCCATACATTCTTTTCATCCCTACATTCCTTTTATCCCTACATTCCTTACATCTCTGCATCCCTTACATCCCTACATTCTTTTCATTCCTACATTCTTTTCATCCCCACATTCCTTAAATCTCTGCATCCCTCATAATAAATATATTGTAAAGACTGCTTCGAGTAAAGGTAAGTGAAGGTAAGTAAAGGAATTTCGCGAAAATTTCGAAAAAGCAGCGCCCCCTGGCGGCAAGAATGCGAACTAAAATTTCGATGTCGAATCAGCGCCATCTGGTTTTGGAAAAAGGAACTAAACCTTGCATCATTTCTGGCCCTCTGGCGGCAAAAATGTGAACTAAAATTTCGATGTCGAATCAGCGCCATCTGGTTTCGGAAAAAGGAACTAAACCTTGCACCATTTCTGGCCCTCTGGCGGCAAAAATGTGAACTAAAATTTCGATGTCGAATCAGCGCCATCTGGTTTTGGAAAAAGGAACTAAACCTTGCATCATTTCTGGCCCTCTGGCGGCAAAAATGTGAACTAAAATTTCGATGTCGAATCAGCGCCATCTGGTTTCGGAAAATGGAACTAAACCCTGCACCATTTCTGGCCCTCTGGCGGCAAAAATGTGAACTAAAATTTCGATGCCGAACCAGCGCCCTCTGGTGGCGAAAAAAGGAACTAAATTTGTATAAAATCGCAGGCCTTATAGCCGCAAAAACTTCAACTCAATTTTAGGGATGTACTTGTATGTATGGAATGCAGGAATATAAGTGATACAAGGATGTAAAGGATACAAGCATGTAAGGGATGCAGGAATGTAAGGGATGTTGGGATATAAAGAAGGCAGAAATGTGAGGAATACAGAGATGTAAGGGTTGTAGAAATGTGAGGAATGCAGGGATGTAAGGGATGAAGAGGTGTAAGGAATGTAGGGATGAAGAGATGTAAGGAATGTAGGGATGAAAAGAATGCAGGAATGTAATGGATGAAGAGTAGTAAGGAATGCTGGGATGTAAGGGATAAAGAGATGTAAGGTATGCAGAGATGGGAGGGATGCGAGGATACAAGGGCCGTGGTGATAGAGCGATTTAGCGGTACCCCCCGCGAGTCCCATGAAAAGAACAAAAAAATAAACTACAAAGGGTGGCCTTGGCCGATAACGAGACTCTTGCGCCATCTATCGGAATGCGGCGGAAACTATTCGACAAGTAGTTTCCGCTATTTACCGATAGATGGCGTGTGTACTTTCTTGGCGGGCTTTTTAAAATTCCATTTTGTGAGTACTTACATAGGGATGTCTGGACCCCCTAAATCATGACTACTTAAGAACAAAGCCATGTCCGGTCTTCTTGTACATAGTCACTGGTGCATATGGTGGTTCTGCATTATATTATAGTCCTTTGGTATAGTTTACCTAGATAGGTTATAGCTCATGAATTTTATTCTAGGTAGCAATAATTTCCGAAATTGTCTACTCACTGGGTATACGCGTTTTGAGCCAGTTACAAGTGTCAGTCTCATCGAGTCATCGAGTGCCGTTTAGAATAGACATGGAGGTAATTAAGGGGTGTCACAGTACGATCCGAATAAAATTTTAATTCTTTCTGTCTGTTATTAATTAATATAAAAGTGATTATTAGAAAAATTCAAAGGTTCAGCTTTTAAAACGATAAGGTCACGTGATAACATCATAAAACAATGTTAATAATATTTGACGATATTGCAATTTATAAATTATAAAAACCACTTCATATTAGTTTGTCATAAATTTGATAAATATACTGCTCAAGTAGAATTATATATACTCGATATATGATTTCTATAAATCATTTTTGTGAATAGTTAACCATTTCCAAGATTGGTGTAATGATTGTCAACGCGTTAGACGGTTTATTTTTGATACTGGAATTTCTCGCCAACAAGATCCTGATTTATTGACACAGGTGAAAGGATAGTAAAAATGACGGAAAGTTTAATAAATGAATGGCTGACGGATTGTGCAGATGTATCATCATCAGAGCTTCATACTTTTGCTACTACTCTGTCACAAGATAATGAGATAGTCAGAGCACTTTATGTACTTTTGGAAGAACGTAGTAAATATAGTCAGGTAATACGTTTATGATAAATATTATTCCTTATTGCAGTAAAAATGTATTAATTCATTCTTTTAATTATGTAAGATTTATTTTTTTTTCATATCCACAGCTATCATTTTCAAGTTGAATTTCATTTGTGTACATGAATATTAATTTTGATTTATTACAGTTGGTGGATACTGTATGCGATCAGTTATACAATTTCTATCGTTCTCGGGAAACAGAACTACAGAGGTTTACCTTGCAGTTTTTGCCAACGTTAATATACATCTATTTAAATTCTGCAGCTCATGGCGATATTAAGGTAACAGTATATAATTAAAGATAATATAATTAAGTATAATTAGTATTGCATGCCTTACGAAGTTATGACAAATTACATTGCAGGCATAGAAAATACAAACATTAATATTACATAACATGAAACATGTATAATGATTGTTGTTTCTTAATGCAAAAATAAATTATGCACAAATATCATTTCAGACATTTGATTTTTCATTTAATTAGTTACTTACTTCTTTTTACAGAACTGTAGATCTGTAGAAACATTATTAATTGGATTGTATAATCTGGAGATAATGGATAAGTCTGGACAGCCAAAAGCAATTTCTTTTAGATTACCATCGCTTGCCATGCTTTCTGTATATCACGAGGTATATGTATTTTATTATATATATAAATAGTATTTCACTTCTATTTTAGTTGATACTTAATTTATTAAATTATAATTATCACCTGTTTTATATAGCCAGCAAGTTTAGCACCTGCTTCTTTAACAGAGAGTGCAGTACGTAGATTTGAAGAATGCAATACAAAACTTGTTAGTTGGGGTCCATTGCAACAAGTTGAAACATTGACTGCTCAGAATAGATTAAAAGTTATGACTGCTCTTTTGTTTATTTATAATCAACAATTGGGTTATATAAGCAAGTTTGCTTTGGAACAGTTATGCAAAGTTGCTACCAAGTAAGCTACAGTTAATTTCACGCATATTTAATTTTAAAAAAATGACAATCATTTTGATCATTTGTTATAGACTTGTTACCCAAGGATTTATGAAACCAGGACACCATCAACGATCTTCGTACGGAAGTGAATCTAGTTTTGTTCCAAGACTTCTACCTCGTATACCTGTATCCAGTCAATTTCTTCTTGAATTTTTGCATGCTGTATATTTTGCTATGTGCGTAACGTATTCTTTGTATGGTAGTAATAGTAACTTACCATTTAAATATAATGTGTATATCGATAGGTATAACGATTGCTGGTACATAGGAACTCAAGCAGTGGAAGATATTCATAATCGAGCATGTTATGAAACATATCCAGATGTTATGCTAGTCACGAATGCTATACGAAATTCTGCTAGCAGTGGTCCGTCAGGTGTGTGAAATATTTATCAACGTGTTTTACAAAGCAACGAAGCGAGAAAATACATTAAACGCTATGGAAACTTTTCATGGTTTTAGGTCAACCTACCGATGGACCAATTGGTATTAGCGTCGCGTTATCACCAGCAACTGCAACCGCCACGGTGTCTAAATCAATGATTACAAACGCTTCTTTCCGGGCCAAAAAATTGCCAGGTATACTTCTGCAAGTTAACATTTCATTACTTATAAATACCATTGAAATATAGCTTAATAAATTAACCCGCTAATATGTTTATAATTTTAGTATTTTACGCACAAAAGAAAGATTATTTTTCCTGTTTGATTAGAGTATTCATAACTAACCAGCATGTTATGAAATGTTATAGAGATGTATAGCAATTACCGATTAGCATGCACTACCAAATGCATAAACAATGGAAACTTGGTTTAAGTAAAACTTTCAGATAGCGTTTATTTTTAAGTTACTTTACGCTAATATATTATTTTTGTAAATATATATTTTATATTGTCTTTGAATATGTAGAACTAACAAGGTGAATGGAGTTCTATTAATTTTTCAAGCAACAATTATTTTCTTTTGCTGAAATATTTTCTTTTTTTGTACAAAGTATGTCGTGAACATATGGAACATATATTTAAATATTTAAACAATAAAAAATATACTTCATAAATTAGTAGATTAAAGCAAACATGCATTGGTTGCAAACATATGTCGTTAGACGATCTGGATGTGACGTTATTTGAGGATGAAGCGAACGCTATTGATCTTGAAAAGCAACATCAAGTAGCAGTGTCCAACACTACGAAGCGGTTCCCTTGGTATTGGAAACATTCACTTCCGGTTTCAATCGCAGAAGATACTGAAATAAGAAAAATGAGTCCTTCTTCCTCGATGGAGAGTTGCAGACGAGGAAGCGTGTGTAGTAATCAAAATTCACCTCACAAATCATCTCCTAAAAGAAACAGAGAGCATTCGAAAAAGAATTTATCCGAAAAAGATGAAGATCATAATTTGAAAACAGCTCTGAAAACGAAAAAACAACATAAAGAAAGTACAGATTTATCTCATGAAAATAAAGTCGGATCTGCTTCGCATCTGTATAGCGTATTGGAAGAACAGTTTCTAGGGGAGATAATTAATGAATCGATGGAAAATTTATATTTGGAAGGAAATAAATCAGTTGGTTTTCATACGTCTGCTACTCTGTCAACAAATACATGGTACTAATGATTCAGTTTCAGCACTTTAGGATCACTAAACGTTATCAAAATTTCTTTGGCAAAACACGCGACAAATTAATTTCTGTTACACTGGTTGTAACAATTAAATATTTTAATTAGTAGTAATTTGTGCATTTATCGATGGATTCATTTCAGAGACACCATCATTCTTAGAAGAAAAAAAACACAAGCCTAATGTATTTTGAATATTCAAGTGCACACGATGGGAAACTGCATGCAATTTTGATGCATTTCTTTTCACTGAAGATATCACGTTTATTATAATGCAGGTTCATCCTAATCCTTTTACGTTTCCTTCCCTACTATTATAAAGCTACATTCTTTCATAAAATTATGAATTGTATTGCATTATGATGTTTGAGTTAGGAAATGTCTGATGATGATGAATGTAATATTTATATTTTCTTTTTTGCTTTACACAGAATGCTTAAGTCCTTGTATTTGTTCTACTCTCACGATAGTTTAGTAGATATTGCGGTATCTTCTATTGACAAATATAAATAGTAATATGTTTATACCTTTTTTATTCTTTCAGATGATATACCAATTCAAGAAACCAAGGAGGATTCTGGAGGAGAGGCAAAAAGTAATCTTGTTTCTATCACTGAAGAAGAATCCACAGAATCAAAAACAGAGTTGGTTCAATAAGACAATCGAAGGATCAAAAGACTGTGTCGACGATTACAAATTTTCTAGTGCGTGGAAAAAGAAACATCGAAGAAGGAATAGATAAAATGTAATTAAGAACGTTCGTATTGATCCGCCTGAAGAAGAAAACGAATTTGGATCTCAGACAAGTTAAAGGAAAGTATTAAAAATTCAATGTTAATAGCGATTCATTAATAGAAATGTTAATGAGTGTTTAATCAAAAAAAAAAAAAAAAAAAATGAATAATGTCGTGGAAAACAATTCAATTAGAGTATACACTAACATTTCTTTAATTGATGGCGAAACGACTTGCATTAAGTGGAGATGTCGATAACACTAATATGGAGGCTCCTATTACATTAAGTATAGATAATGAAACAGAATCATTGACTTTGTCTATTCAAGTCGGTTCTGTTAGAACAAATTTGTAAAACAAAGAAAGATATTAGTAGTGGGCTACATTGAACAACTAATTCTTTTCATTCAGTTTTAATTACAATTGTACATACCTTTTTCTTCCTTTATCACTGAATTATTAATTTTAAAAATTTGAAAGGATTTTCTACTCATAGTTGCTTTAGAAGTAGTCCATTACTATACTGATCTCCATAATTAGTTAAAAGAAGTAATGGGGAAGGGAACAATAAACTAATAATGTATATTTTCTTTTTATAGAAATACACTAAATTTAGATTAAAAAGTTACGTTAATTATCTTTATAATATGATTTTAATGTATCAATTAGTTTTATATTTTTTTAGATATTTTTATTTACAATTATTTAATGATTTTAACTATTAAAATCTTGTTCTTTACGTAAAACGAATTGCTGACTAATACAACATTTTAACATATGAGTAAAAGTAAATATACTTTCAAATTAAAAACAAGTACTTACGTGTATTTTTTTTCTGAATTATTGAATGATGTTCATATCTAGAATATTCAATTATATCACGTTTGCATTTATTTTTTGGCAAAGTGTAAAGCAACTTTTTGACATCATGGTTTCAAAAAAAAAAGCATAATTCATTATGAATTAAAATTTTAGGCATTTTACGAACAAAATGCAATACGACTGATTTGTCTTTCAAGACAATGTAAAAATAAACTTTAAAAAATTTGTAATTTTCCTAACAATTACATTTTCTATAATGTATTTTCATGCTCCTATGCATAATGTCATACTGGTAAATTATGTTTAGAAGCAAATGGTTTTGTATAAATTTTAAAGTAAGAAGATTTTAGCTCATACCATAATTCATTTTGTAACAACTTCAAAAATGATTTATATCCATGTTTTCTGTACTTTTAATATTAACAAACCTCAGGATTTTGGACTAGTAACTTTTTATTCCTGTTTAAACTCATATGTGATTACTATTCAAGATTCATTTAAATTATACTCTTACATAAAAGTAGTATTGTATTATTTATAATCAAATAGTTGCAATGTAAAATATTTCAAAGAATGTTTCCTTACAGTTTATACAGTATTTATGTTTGTAAATATACACTGTGATAGAAAATACTTCTTAAGAAGGATTTCATTTAAAAGCTATTTATTAGCTACTTGTTATTTTATTTAAAATAATAAACATGTGTCATGAATAATTTATGAATATAAAATGATGATAATGTGAAAAAGTTTTTGAAACAATTCTTATATTGTATTATGTTTAAGAAATTGAAATTTGGAATTGGTATCTACTTGAAAAGACTGCACTTGCATTACATTATTCCTTAGTCTAACTAAGAAACATACATACCCTTATGATTTCTTTAATCAATCATAGTGTTCAATAAATCAATCATCATACGCATATTAATATTCGATAAAAGAATATTATATAATACATTCACATAAATGTGTGTTTAAAGCAATCATTTAACTCTTATGACAATTCTAAGGATTTTAAATCATCATAAATGGCTCCTATTGAGTGGCTCCTTTAAAACAATAAAACAAAATCTATGTCCTTAATCTTAAACTTCATTAAATTATGCTTTCAAAATTATTAATTAAATTCTGTAAATAATGTATAAAACTCGAAATTTATTATATTTCAGTCAAGTATTTAAATTGTTCCCCTCTTCCTACATATTAATTTATTAAAAAAACGTCTTTTAAATACTGACTAATATACTATATGGGAAAATGATAAAATATATAGTCTTTTTGTATTATTTGAAGTTTTCTAATTAACAGAATGAAAACTAGAATTATATACATAAATTTATTTTAGAAAAAAAAAAAATCAGAATTTAATTTTCTGTATCACTGCCATATAGTGTAATTTACTCAAACGAATTAGATCAATAATTTAAGTTTACACATTTTATTGAGTATGTATTATATTATATTTAAAACATACACGCATAGGTGTGAGAAATATGTTTCCTGAAATTGAACAAAATAATGCAAATTATAAGTATTAAACAATTAAACAAGGAGAAAATTAAAATGGTACTATAAAAAGGATAAGTTAAAAGTTTGTTAAATTTGTTAGAATATTTGTAATAAAAGGTATAAAAACGGGAATTGGTAAATACATAAGAATTGTAACATTTAATGTAAATTTTGGAGCTGTTTACTGTTTAACATTCTGTTATGCTCTTTCATACATGTAGATACTTTTCATGGAAACGAAAAGTAAACGTGTACATAATATATACCACAGTTCCACAAAAATTGATGTACTCATCAGATGTGAAATAATATATGCAATTATCTTGTATGTTTATGTAGATTATAATGATATCACAATAACTCATGTATATTCAGGTATAAATATTGTACATTGTTTTAATTTGTAATTATACTGTTAGAGCTTATTATATTGTTACAGCTGTCAATATGTAAATAATATATGAACTTACTGCACAGGAGGTTTGGTTGAGTTTATTCGTAATATATTTAATTTTCATTTGCATGTTAAATTAAAATAATATTTTAAACTGTTTCATAAAATCTATTTCTTTTGTAATAACTATACTTTACCTTGTTTTTTAATACCTTTACTTTGTTATTAAATACTACACGTAGAAAATGTACGACCATTAACAAATTTGTCAGAAAATTGATACTAAAACTGTTGAGCAATACATGTAGATAAATTGATTAAAATAAGATAATAACGAAATCAAAGTACCTACATAATTTCCTATTTAAAAAGTATATTGTTACCAGCTTGTGTATTTATTAACAATAAATAATAATGCAATAAAAGTAATGTTTAGATAAATATGTTCAATAATGTTTAAATATTAGGTGATTGTGTTGCTAACAAATGTAATTAAATAAAATAAAGAATAGTATATACTGTTGAATATTTCTTTTTTATGTGTCAATGCAGTTATTATTAGCTAATATGGAAATACTGATAAAGACCTTAACTAGTTTATTAACGCGATTGAAAGAAATTTTTACCTCTATTCGTTTAACCACGTTTCCCACAAAGCTTTTTCCTATAAATATTAATTAACTAATATTAGTTCCATTAAAAAACGGCTTGAAATATATATATATATATATATATATTTGTATAATTTCAATACAACTTACAGTTAAAATCTCATTGTCATAAAGATCTTGGTAGTTCTTAATAAGTACCGTAGTTTCATCTTCTAATTTTTGTGTAGTACTTCGCATTTCATCTAATTTTAAGTACCCCTCATTATATTGCTCTTTCATTTCTTCCAATTTTACTTCAGATAACTTTTTGTCACTGTAATTAAAAATTCACGTTACTCTAAATGAAAGTATTAAAGGCTTATTAATTATTGTTTATGTCACCTTAATAGCTGAGAACTTAAGTTGCGTAGAGGAGAGAGACGCTCTTCGTATTGTGCTTGAATGTCGTGTACTTCAGTTTCTTCGCGCTGTCCCTTTTGATTTTCTAATCTTTTTTCAAAATTGGCAATATCTGTTCTGAGCATATCTACTTGCTTCTTAATATTATCTTCTTGAACATCTACTTTCCTAAAAATAAAAAACAATATAGAAAGTGACTAATTTAAAACTTCAAGTAAAAGTTAACGAAAACGATAATTAAAGTACTTTAATTGCTGATATATATCTTGAACTTCAACTAATTTCTCTAACTGTTTTTGAACAAAATTGAAAATGTTTGTCTGTTGCTCCATTAAATGTTTTTTATCTTGGCATGCTTCTTCCATTGTTTTTCGTTCTTGCACTTTAGAACTCTGCTGTTTTTCTAGTTCTTTTAAATGCATCTCATATTTATCAGGAGATTCGATAATCTCTGATTGTAACTGTGTAACTTTTTTATGCAACTGTAATTACACATTATCATTTTTGATAAAAGTACATGTACTTTTGATTCAGTTTTTTTACAATTTCACCTTTGAAGCTTCTGCTTTGTAAGTTCCACAAAGCTCCACTGCTTGTTGTTTTTTCCGTTTTGCTGCTGTTTCCTTTGCTGTTATTTCTGCATCCTTCTTATTATTCCTTTCCCTTTTGGATTGCAACTTTTGAATCTCAGAGATATACTAAATAAAGATATACAGGTATAAGATACACGGAATTATAAAATATTTAGAAATTAAACTTATTATATATAGTACTTTTTCTTTTAATGATAACTGCTTTCCTATGTAGAGTGCCTTTTCATTTTTAGTTTGTATCACTTCATTCTTCTTTTCTATCATATCGTGTAATAGTTTTGCTCTATTTTGAATTTCATTGATTTGCTCTTCTATATCAGACTCTTTGTTATTTGCAAATAATATAAAATTTGCAAGAAACTTTGCAAATTTCCGTATTTTCTTTGAACCTAAAATATTTTAACTTAATTAGTTTATTATTACTAATTTAAAATATTACATTTACATTTGAAAATACATACCTGGGCTAGATATATCTGTAATACATAAATCTTTAAAATAGATACGATCACATATTTGTACCATTGCAGTATGTAAATTTATGAGTCCAATGATATCAGAATCTTCTATGTATTCCATTATATCTTGTTGTTCCATTAGTGGCTATAAAAAAAATGAAATTTAATAGAAAAGCACAAATATATGTTTATGTAACAAGTTAAGCAATAATAACATTATTAATTGTTCCAACATATATATGAAATCTTCTTAAAAATGTATTAATTAAATCCACAACAAATTCTTCAGTTGGATTTTTTAGGTCCTTTATACTTGATGGAAGATTGGCTTCAATTAGAATATTATGTATTTTTTCTATTTCTAAATCCATGGTAACTGTTAAAACTACAGACAACTTGTATGACAGTTAGTTTAAAACCATTTAAATGCATTCAAATACATGACGCACGCGTAAATGGTGAATGAAATAGTATTTATGGTGAGTTTTCAACAATTTCAGAAGATTCTTCCATCACCAAAATGGTGTGCTTATCTATCTCTTTACTACTCACTTCATGACTACAAAATCAAATATAAATTTTCAATGAAAATAAAGTGATGTTCATATATTTTATAAAATAATATGAAAGGAACATAAGCTGATATATGTATATTTTATTATTTTGTATATATTAAAAGTATTTAAAAATGTTTGTATGCAGTAAAAATTATATCTCTGTAGGAAAACATTATAAGGATGTTTATAAAAAGTTTCATTTAAGGTTTACTTCCACAGATTTGTAAGTATATAAAAATGTTTTTCATAACATCAGTGTTGAAAATCAGTATAAATAAATATAATATTTTTATGTAGTACACAATGGAAATCCACAGTAGGTTTAGAAATTCATGCACAGATTGCTACAAAATCAAAATTGTTTTCCGGAGCCTCAACAAACTTTAGTAGCCCCATTAATTCATGCGTATCACTTTTTGACTGTGCAATACCTGGAACAATGCCGGTAATGTATAATAAATATTTGGACTAAATAGTTTAATAATTTCTTGCTATGTTATTGTTTTATAGGTGTTGAATAAAAAGTGTGTAGAAGCTGGAGTATCAACTGCCTTAGCTCTATCTTGCGAAGTTAACAATGTTTCAATGTTTGAAAGGAAGCATTATTTTTATTCTGACCTGCCTGTAAATATGTTTTTTCAAAGCTATTATAACGAAAAGAATTTGTAGAATATCATGGAGTATTACAGTATGTTTCCTCAGACAATTATTTTGTGTAGGCAGGCTTTCAAATTACACAACAGAAGAAACCTTTAGCCATTAATGGAGAACTTAAATTTATTGTATTCACGCCAGAAATGCAGAAACAACCTTATTTTAAGACATCAAAAATTAAACAGATACAACTAGAACAAGACAGTGGTAGAAGTTTTCACAGTGAACATTTTGAGAGGTATTAGTAGCAGTGTTGCTTATTAATGATTTCACATTTTAAAACATAAATTGTACACTGTTTTGTTTAATTCATGAAAGAAATTTAGTTGATCTTAATCGAGCTGGAATACCCCTAATGGAGTTAGTTTTTGAACCAGATTTAACAAATGGGGAAGAAGCAGCAGCTCTTGTAAGGGAATTAAGTTTTATTTTGCAATTAATAGGCACATGTTCATGTAAGATGGAAGGTTAATATATTTCTACGATTTTTTTGGAGAAATAATTGTTAATTATTTAAGTTACACTTTTAAATTTATAGAAGGAGCATTACGAGTTGATGCGAATGTTTCTGTAAGTAGAGATAACGCATCTTTGGGTACCCGGACGGAATTAAAAAATATTGGAAGTACGCGTGCCCTCGACAATGCTATAGAATATGAAATAAAAAGGCAAATTTCCGTTTTGAAAAATGGAGGTAAAATTGTTAATGAGACTCGTGGCTGGGATTCGCAACAACAGAAAACAATTCCAATGCGTGAAAAAGAAGAAAAACATGTAATATAATCGCGCCAGTTAAAATAAGCAACAAGCCCTTAATTTGAATAATAATTTTCAGGACTACCGTTTTATGCCTGAACCAAATTTACCACCTTTATACTTACATAATTTGATTGATGTGGAATTTTTAAGAGAGCAGTTACCAGAATTACCAGAACAAATGCGACAGAAAACATTCCAAGATCTTAAACCTCAGGCATTTGTGGGAATAACGGTAACTTTTGTAATTGAGATATAACAAAATTGATTGTGTATTCATCGATCTTTTACTTTCAGAGTAATTTAGAATTATTCAAATTATTTCGTAACATCTTAGAAAATGGAAAATATCGCAATCCTCAATTGGTAGCTACGATTCTCATCAGTGAAATTACGACTTTTTTACAAGTAAATAATTTGCAACTTACATATTGGTAAGTTAGTGGTAAATTTGTTAAAGCAAGATGAAAATAAAATATATTTAAGATAATTTAACTTTTAGTTCAGATAATTTGAACCGTATTGGAGAAGCGATTGATTTAATACAAGATAATGCAATAAACTACATGATATTGCAAAAATTGTTAAATAAATTAGTCATTGAACCAGATAAAACGCCAAAACAGGTAACTTTAGAAAATTGAAGTTACCTTAAATCTCATGTAAATTAATAAATTTTAATTGTATCCTTTTAATCAATAGATCATTGAAGAAAATAATTGGTTTATGATATCAGACGAAATTAAACTGGAGAAATTATGTTTGGAAATACTTGAGAAACAGCCTAAACTCGTTAAAAAGTACAAAAAAGGACGTACACGTGTATTTAAAGTACTTTTACAACAAGTAGCCTCGGCTACAAACGATTGTGCAAATATGGAACAAACTACGAAAATTATGACAAGATTGTTAAGTTAATTTTTAAATATATTGGTTTTGCAACATAAAATATGAAGTACTTTATTAAGTATCCGATACGGTATCTACCTTTAAAACATATTCACGTACCTCTATGTTTAAAACATTATGAAATACATAAAATTTTCGTCTAACATTTATTTTTTTCTTATATAGATATAAAACTAAATGTGAAAATTATTTGTGGTTTAAAAAATTGAAAACCATCGGTTCTCTATGCAACTCTATTTTAGTCTGAATTAGCACAAAATTTTATTTTTAACAACGTTAATTATATTATAAAATACTTCATAAAAATGTCAGACTATGTTCAGTTTCTATGTGATACCTGAGGGTGGGACATGTTCATTACAATAGTACAAAATATAATAATAGCAGCAACCTTTATCAAATCAACATAATTTTTTAAAGACTTATTTGGTTTATAAAAAAATATTGATCATAATTTACATACTTTTCTTATTACTTTACAGTTGCTAGAACGAATCGTATATAAAAAAATTATTATTAAATATACAACCGTTTGATAAAGATTGAACTATTTATCACAAATTGTACAAAATGATTTTTTTTTATAATTTACAATAACGGGTATTGTATATTATGATACTACTTTCATCCAAATACTTTTCAAATATAATAAGCACATATATATTGCTATTATATAATACAATGAAAATATCTATATACTAAACAGTTACACAAAATTGTTATTCTATAACAAACATCATTATGAAACAACCATATCAACTTATTTTTGTACAATTTTTTACAATAACATCATTAAAAAACATGTCACCCATACATTGTCATTTGTTCTTCTTTTCGCTAATTATAAACTCGTAATTTTCATTCAAATTAAAACTTCCATTATAAATATTGCTATCAAAAGCTAATATTGTTCTTTTTTTTTTTAAATCCAATACATTAAATTAGTTATTAAAAATAATAACACAGTTTTCATCATTGATTTCAGTTATTGAAAACAATTACTTCCATCACTTTATACATGTTAAAAAAGTTTCATCTGAATTATATTTTGTTAACAGTGAATTGCAAAATTATATTAAAACGTACATTATTTAATGCGTGAAACTTCCTATCCTCTGTAAAAATGGCAATGATGGAAGGATTACAAACTTACAGTCTTCCAGGAAAGGCCACTTGAATAGCATGAAAATCATCCTCTTAATTTACTTCTTTTTATTGTTCTACTTAGTCTTGTAATACGTGACGAATGTATTCGCTCGCATTACAATTATGGAAACAAGTTTATACAATAAATTTGATGTATATATATATATATATTTCTGATGTTTTTTTGAAAGTAAAAAATTTTGTCTTATTTAACTCTAAAATGCCACAATATCATTATCTATTAAATATTTACAAAATGTCCTTATAAAGAGTCAACATTAATAACGTGAGTTCTTTAAAAAAAAGAAAACTGTCGTTAAGAACAGATTTGTTTTTCATTAATTTGAACGAAGTACATTTTGCTTTATAAAGTATCGGCTCTAAAATGAACCATGAAATTTATCTTCGTGAGGAAGAGTTAAATGTGAGAAAGTAAAAAGTTCTAGATCCTTTATGGTCAACTATTCACAATTCTAAGAATAGGAGCAATGTCTCTTTTCGCTCTTGGCACAGCCACGCGAGTAATTTGATAATAAATTAAATTACTAGCAATAAGAATAAATTCATCAATACGTGATGATGTAATATACATTGTAAGAATACTAGCAATAATGATCATGATACTTTTATAGCTAAAAACAATTCATTCAATGCAATTGTAATGCAACATAAGAAACGCTATCCAGCCTTCTTTTAAGACCACTGGAGTTATTTTGATAATTTGCTGATTACTCTGATCAAGGCACCATTTTCATCTTTTAGCCTCTGATTTTCACATTTTAGTTGGTCCATTACCTAAAAAGGAAAAATATCAAAATACTTTGTGTTATATCTAATCATGTTTCTTAACGAACAAAAAGGAAAAGGCAATACCATTATAAATTAGGGCAAATAAATGTTTAAATAAAAAAAAAAAAAATTTGGAAAAGGGAAACAAGCAGATATTGTTGCAACTAAAGCTTTAGAAATTAAAACAACATAATAACTTGATGCAAACCATAGGGATAAAGTTAAAGGAGCAACGTAATACACATTTATATAACAAGCAGGTGTAACTGTAATAGCAGACTTTTAAACATAAAAAAATCTTTTCAATATAATAAGATTCAATTAAATACTGAAATCTTATTTAAAGCGTTTTTGTACTTCGATGATGTCATGTAGACAAGTAAAATGTAAAATTAAAAATTGTGTGTTAGACAATTTCTTATGTACTCCCCAATATTTTTATTTGTACCACGCTATATTTTTTTCTGTTTTTAATAATGGTTTGGATTCATACTTATATCCTAGAATAATACTTTTAACACAGTTATATTTATACAATAATATATGTAGTGTTAATTTACACTAGATTATATTGTTATGATTGCAGTTTCGTTTTACTATTTTTATAAAATGTTATACTTTACTTACTGAATCTCTTTCATGCATCTTATAAAATTTCCCACGACAAAATTATTATCACACATCAAATGAATGAATGATACGAATGATAGAAATTGGGCATAAAAATATCAAGATGAAAAACAATGAGTAATGCAATGAAACTATCACAATTTTGAATTGAACATGCGTTGTACAAATTATATAAATACTTTTGTTTTATAAATATATCTTTTTAGAAAGATCAAGGATATTTACATGTTTCAAAAATATGTATAAATAGAAATGACTTGCAAGTTAATTTTAAAAGATGAGAAAAATTGTTTTCAAAATAATTCATGATCTCTCAAATAGTAAAAATTAAACCCAATTTAACTTTTATTTAAATTTAATGACTAAATTGGGCTAGTGAAAAAAAGATACTTTTAAAAACGAACTGGAGGACAGACTGCGTTTTTCAATGTAAGTAAACATGTTTCTACATATTTCGCACAAACAATTTAACAATATCTATGAATTTTATTAAATAATACTTCTGTAAGAATTTGAAAATATAAGATAAAGATCAACGAAGATATACGTTATACATTTGTAAGTATCATTAGTGGAATAGAGGAAAATTTAGTTTTATATAATTACAGCATAATTTTTATAAACATGTTTTATGTAAGCTTGAAACTTTTGTACGATAAGCTGTTATAAATCTTCTTAAATAAAATTATTTTAATGATCGTAATCGCACGTAGTGTATTTTGCGAAGCTGTCATTGTAAGATAAGTCAGTGAGCGACATCGTTTCAAAGTTTTAATATTGCAATTGATTAATTAATTAATTAATATTGTACGTGAAATACGATGTACACTGTTAACGCAGATGCTGTCATTATATCCTTTACCTATTTAGTAGTATTGGTGAGTTTGGATACGACGCGGGTAAGTGCCCGATTTTCGGCTTTCAATCTCTCATTTTCAGCTTTGAGTTTTTGTAATTGCTGTAAACAGTGAAACGATTAGCCCGATATCCGCTTGTCTTATAAAAGCCCCACCAGACAATAATATGTAATCTACTACATCATTTGTTACATTAACAAATATGATTTTCAACTATCACCACATAATTACCATAATGTGAATCACACGGTGTATAATAATAAAAAAAGAAGTACAAAATGCCAATTAAAACTATTATATTGCGTAAACAATAAGCGCGATTATTTAATAAAAATACTGAAAATAAAAGCATCAAGAAAATGGCAAATAAAAAAAAAAGCAATGCATTAAAAGCAGCTTGTACTTTTTTGGTTTTTCTTCCTTAAATCAACCACTCCAGAAATGCTGAAACCTTTTCTTTGTATTTAGTCATAAACAATCAAAAAACATAATTGAAAAAATTATGACGTGCACTCTAACTAAGGAATATATAAGTATAATTAAAATCTTTTATAATCATCTGAACGTAGAATAATAGAAATGATGATATATCAAGTAAACTGTTTAGTTGAGATATGATTCTTAAATCAATATTACATACTTTTTATAAATTTTATTTCCTGAGAATAGTATATATAGTATGGCAATTTAAATATTAAAAGGAAATCATTAATTTTTACCTTCAATTCCTCTTCCATTTCCGATAATTTCCTTTCCATTGCTCTCCTTTCCCTTTTCTCAGCTTCAGATAGGACCGTTTTATTTTGTGCACTTTGCGCTTTGTCCAATAAATTTCTCACTTCTTTTAATTGATCATCTGACCGCCTAAGTTTTTCTTTAAGTCTTTCATTTTCTGCTTGAGATTCTTCGTATAACTTTTTGTAGTCTAATTCCCCGTTCTCGGATGTTGTAGACTTTATTCTAGCCGACACAGAAGGTGTTTCTGATGATAACGAAGATATAGATCCTAGCCTGTTGGATCTTCCAGAACGGTCATTTCCACTCTACGAAATAAAAATTGAACGAGGATAAAATAAAAAGAATTTTAAATACTGCGATTATAATTATCTATTACAGATAATGGTAAAAGTATTTTTTTTTTTCTTTTCTTATACAATACTTAAATATATTTCCTTACAATATATCCTTCAGAACTTGCTAAACTTTGCAGACTAGAACTTCTTGATCCAAACTGAACATCTGGCTTTATTTTTGTTTTATTAAAGCTTTCAGTTCTCTGTGCTTGAGAGTGATTGTTTGGGTTAAGACTTAAATAATTGTAACTTGTGGATGATGGTAAACGCAAGGAGCTAATGTTATGAGGTAAAGTTATACTTCCATATCCTGATGTAGTTCCACCGTATGTTGTGTATGGATTTTGATAGCTCAAATTACTCGTGGAATTTGAGTATTTCTTTTTAAACGAATCATTACTTTTTGAGATTTTATTTAAAAAATTTGGTACTCCTAGAGAGTTTCCATTAACACCTAACAAACTTGAATAGCTATTTTGATTCAAAGGAAACAATCCAGTAATGCTTCGTGATCTATTTCCAAAAATTGAACTTCCATTTGCTGATGCCTGAGCTCTTAATCCTGCAGCTGTTGTTGGCTTTCCTTGAGATCTTTTTCTGTACGATGACATTGTTTACAAAACTGGTAAAATAGTTTTATTAACTACGTTAAATCGAGCACGTTTTTGCTAAAATTTCTACCAAGTTTTTACATATTATTTTTTATACAGGATTTGGAAGTATTTTATCACTTAATTTCAAAACTACTTTATCACAATATACACAATATGAACGATCTAATTCTAATGACAGCAAGAATTTGACTGATGTGAACTGGGTAGAGGAACTTAAAACATCAGCCAGTTTACTCTAAAGCATCAGTTGGTAGGCTATTTATAAGTCACATGTACAAACCTATACTAATATCAAGGTTGTGTGCTTTAGAATAAACATATTTGATGTTTCACTCTCAAGAGATTTTATATAATTAAGAAATATTATAAAATATATATATTTATATATAATCAATCTATTTTATCAACCATGTAAAATTTACCAATCAATATACCTAATTATATTGATACAAATATATAAATAGTAAGTTTTTAAATTTATTATATATGTTTGTATATATGTACGTTTATAATAACAAGAAATTAAAATAATAATTACATGAAATAACTGAATTAATTATTAATCATCATATTTATACTGTTTTTGTATTTTATATGCTATATAACAAGTTATACTGATATTCATTTTATTATATTTATCATAATTTAATCTAAATTTTTCAAAAACAAATATTTTTAGTAATATGCAGAAAAAAAAAGAAAATTCTTATTAGACTACCCTAAATGTCAAAGTATCACATTGTTCCAAATGTCGATAGGATATTTTTAGATACTACCAGGCCATGTTCATGATCAATTTCTTTTTCTTTTTCTTTCTTATTTTATTTGTTCAAATAGATCCTCATATTATTAATTCTGCTGAAGTCAATTGAAATTATTTGTATTTTTATCTTAGTTTTAACATATATTTTGAAGAAACATCAGCAAACCTATTTTTAACAAAGCATGCATGCATAGAGGTTAATCTTCCCAGAGACTAAACTAAAAATAACACAAAGCGACTTGGACTTCATGAAATTGCGTTTATATTAGAACAGTTGTATATAGTACTTGTTGATTTTGTTACAAATTCAGTATAAAAATAGTAATGATAAAATTGAATGAAGATAATATATGATTACTAAAGTTTTCCATCAATAATACAAGTAATTTTTAGTATAATTAATACACTTCAAATAATACAAATGATGAAACTGAATTACTCACCTCATGGTTGATTTTGTTCTCGTCACAATCACCACCAGCGGTTAAGTCTTGTTTTTCAGGATCAATTTCCTATAAAATATTTCATCGAAACTTAAGATACAACATCATATTTAAATATATAATTAACAAGGACAATGAAAAATTGAACACATAAAATTCATACTGAATATTATAAAGCAATAATTGCTACTAACGTCCATGTCAACGTGGACAACGCCCGTAGACCTCCTTTTTGGTCTTCTTCTCCTTTGTATCACAGCTTGCGTAGCTTGTGCATTTCTGCTATCATTTTCCTTATCTTGTTCTGTAACGTATCAGTGACGAGTAAAATAAAAACTGATATTTCTGAAGTTCAATTAATATATGTTGTAAGTTTCAACAATTATTATCTGTACCTTTATCTTCCGGTTGCTTTAACGGTCGTCTAAGCGGTAATGTTACTGTTGTTTCTGCACTGCTTGTTGCAATAGTTTCAACAGGAGCTGATGACGGTCTTGGTATACTAGTACCTGTAGAAGGTCTTCTCATATATGCTGTAGTAGTATCAGGGTTAGGTACTGTTGCGGTTCTGTTATTGGCATCTTCTAATTGGAACTGTGCAATAAAATTTATTTCTTAATTCTTATAACATGTATATAGTATTTTTTTTGTTTACAGAAAATATATATTATGAAGATCAAACCTAATCGAACATGATAAAAAATCACAAACCTTGCTCCCATTATCTACTTTCAACCTCCATGAAGGTCGCCTTTCAGGCAGATTAAGTTCTTCAGGAGATTTGTTTGTAGTCACAGTGGTAGGAGTTGCTGTTGTTATTGTAGCTGTAATTGAGGCTGTATTGCTGGTAGTGGTTGCAGGCTAAGTTATTGAAAAAAATTAAATAAATAAAAAAAAAAATATAACACTACAACAAAATTTAGTATCTTATAAGAATAGTTAATACGCGAATTAAAAGAAAAAAACTGTACATTAGTCTGCATATATGTAGTAGTGGTTTATTATTAATATGTATTTCAAAGCTAAAAAGCCATCACAGAAAAAAACGATTTACCTGTGTAGAAGATACTGTAGTAGGAATTTCATTATTTTGTTGTTTTTTCTTCACTAATTGTTCTGCGCTTTTAATTTCATCTAATGTTACACCTTGGGTTGAACGTCGAGTTTCTCTTACTCTCTTCGCGTGTGCTTTTCTCTGTGTTTCACTTTCTTCATCACGAACAGGAGGAACAAATGACCTAAACAAACGTTATAAACACAATGTTAATAATATAACACGTAATATTTATACCGTGGGCCGACTTTTATATTTGTTATAAAATATAACAAAATCTTGAAAAAGCATTAAACATTGTCATAAACACATCCAAAAGCAGCATTTACAAGTTTTACATAAAACACTTATACTTTCATTTAGTTATAATATAAATATTACAATAGTAAATATAATATTTAACGATAAAAAACATTGTTTGAATTTTTAGTAAATATATACCTGCACAGATAAAGTGTACTGAGATGTATTTAAAACATGCTAAAATTTATATATTAAATAAATAAAGAAATAAAAAGATGGCTTGCTAATATACATATTTTGTTTCTTGGCCTTAGTTATTCACGACAACTTCGTGCACATGGAACATTTCTGGCACCAATATTAGAAAACTGATAAACAATAAGTATGATAACAAATAGATAACGTAGAATGTGAAGCTACTTATGTGGTTGTAAAAAATTAAATTGTTTCAGTGGCAGTGTTTCTGAACTGGAGATATTATTTTTTTTACTAGTAAAAACAAGGCAGTGGTTATTGGGGTGATATTTTTAGGATAAATATATGCAACTGAAATAAATAATCACACCGCAAAGCAAATGTTCATGCCACTGCCAATAACTTAACGTCATGTGTATAGATATCATACGATATGCGGTATCACACATTTCAAGAGAATCTTCCCAGGTCAAACATTAAGTACCCACTTGAAGAAATTCTTGAAGATATTTCCTGGACTTAGTTTGCTCCCTCCTGGTGTAGTGGGAGTTCCAGGAACTGCTACTGAATTGTTTGTAGTTGTACCTTCCACTGGTTGAACGCTACCCAGCCATATTAACATCATTACAAGATGCAAATATGAACATATAAACTTCGGTCTTAAATGCGATTCTTTCAAGCATACGTAATATCATACTTTTTGTATCGACTGCGTTTAAAAATATTTATACATTTTCTTTTGTATCTTTTAATTTTGTTGTATTCAAAAGTTATAGAACGATACCTCAATAACCATATCTTATTCGACCTTTTAATCAAATTTATTAAAAATAAATTTTGTCTTTTTTTTCTTAATATTTACCTGCGAATTTGATTTGTTGGAATAGGACTTGTTGTAGTTGTTGTTGTGGCAGTTGTAGTAGCTGTAGCTGTAGTAGTTGGCAGTGTACTTGACACTATTGTTTTAGATGTAGATGTTGGTGAAAGTGTATTGCTTCCTTGTGGCAGTCTTGATAGTTCCAAGTTTAATTTTGCCTCTTTTCTTCTAAAGTTAAAACAGTATAGTTGTTACATCAAGTACAGATTTTATTTTAATTATCTGAACTTCATAAAATTTTAGAGTTGTATATTTTTCAATATAAATTATGTAAAATTTTACATTCTATTTGTAATGTACACAAAAGTTATTAATTAATGTTTAAGCGAAGCAAAAGCAAAGAATAAAAAAAGCTTAGTAAATGAATGATCACAAACATAAATAAATAGCATGTACAGAAAAAAAAAAAAAAATGGTGAACTTGTGGTACAATACTAAATAGAATTATACATATTTAAAGCATTAATATACATATCACGTATGAAACATGCGCACCTGTAGGTTTCGCGTAGAGATGCAGAACGGGTCGTAGTATTGGTGTGAGTAGGAGTAGCTGCATTGCAGCAATGGAGAGTAGGGCAGGAAAACGCCTTGATGCGAGCTCGTAATGCCAGGTACTGCTCATAGAACCTGCATAACATGCATCATGCCATGCATACAACTACGCTAATTTTCAATACGCATGAAGCTCAAAAATCTACTGCATAAAATTCTTTGCACAATTAATCGCTTAAATGTGTAAACATTGATACAAAGAATAATAAATGTAAGTTTAAATATGCGAAACTATAAACAGTTGCAGTATAAAACAGAGGTAAATATGTTAACAGAATTTGTATAACGTTACAATAAATAAAACAGCAAAATGTTTTTTTGTTAAATATTTTTAACTCACTTTTCATCTGTCTCAAAACTATGCGTTCGTGTCAATACCACATCGGTTTCTGTATTAAGTTTGTTCGGTATGGTTGGTGATATAATATTTTTATCTTTCTCTTCAAGCCCTAAATGCATATGAAAAATTAAATGAAATAATTCTAAGTTAAAATTATGTAAAGTAACTTTATCGTAGCTACAACTTACTCGTAGATACAGTATTTGTTGTTTCTGTGTTTTGTATCCTATTTCTAAAAGAGCCTGAACGCCTCCAGGATGGTATAACTCCTTCTTCGTTGCTATCAGTCTGTTGTTTTGGTGGCATTACTGGAGCCTGAAAAATAAGTAAAACCAACAAATTAATATGCTTTAATTTTATATTACACGAAAAAGATAAACATTTACTAAAATATTACCTGATTAGGAACTTTATTAACCTCGATAGGAGATGACAAATTACGCGGAGACGTTTCCTCCCTATTCGCTCTATTTTTCTTTTCTGTAAAATTAAATTGAAGATTAATATTTCCCGTGGAAATTAATTACAAAATTTCTTTCTAAGAAAAAAAAAAAAAGAGAGAAATCGATGTTTCCACGTGATCACTTATTTCATTGAAAAATTTATTTTAACAACCGAACTTTGAAAGTAGCATTTCTATTACGAGAAGGAATACAAAGAGAACAGATGTATCTTATAATACATGCAACAAAGTGTGATTTGAATAAATATAAAAACAGTCTTACAGACAAAACTCACCATCATCTGTAAGACATGGAGAGTGGTTTGATTCGTTAGACTTATCAGATTGATTGGAGTAAGTGGAAGAATGTGAGTCTGAGCTAGTCTCAGATTCACCTTCATCATCACTCTCTTCCATATCTGTTTCACGTGTCGCTTCTGTCCATGCAGCATTGTTACAAGAAATACAAATTGCTGTTAAGGTAAGTAAAATAGACTTGCAAAACTGAACAGTGTGCAATATATCTTTCATAAAAATATAATCCTACCTAAATCAGCACTTCCCAACCATTTGCAAATGGATTTAAGTAAATGAAAGCGTTTTTCAAAATAAAACATGTTAAAAAGAAATATGTAGTAATTATATTACATCTACGGGGAAAAAAAAATGATTGAGAAATACTAGCTCGATTTTTTTTTTTTTTTTTTTTTTTTAAATTCACAGAGTGTTCTAATAGTACTACTTTATCATATTATTTTCGACAAATTTTTCTAATACAGTAATACTTATGGAACATTCTATACACATATGTAAGTTTACAAATTCATCACCATTTAGTAACAAAATTTAAACAATCTGTCAATATGTTTAAATATGGACATGCAGATCAGCAAACCCATTAATAAATAATGTAAACTGAAAACATACCAACATCGCTATTTGTTCCGGTACTAGAATCTTCTTTGTCAGATTGAATTTCTAATTCAACTTTCTTAACTTTATTTGGTGTTTCTTCTTCAAACGTTTCCACAGATTCTTGCATAACTATAGCATTTTCATTACTTGTAGATACGCTGTAATACCAACAAATAAATAATTAAGATAATTTTTTTCATAAATCAATATATAATTATTTTACAAACCGTTTCTTTGGTATAGTTGGCTGTTTTTTATTGATAATTTGTGGATGATCCTTCATTAACGTTTGTTGTTTTGCTTTTAGTTCCTTTAAGGCAGACAATATACTTGTATCGGCAATATCAAATGCAGTTTGATCCTGTCAATGTAAAATTATGAAAGAGACAATATTTTTTTTTCTTTATAGTATGCGACAATTTTAATCTTACAGCATAATTCTTAATGTCCATATTACAAAAATTTTCCACTAAAAGTTCACAAGCCTCCAATTGACCCCAATGCGCGGCAGCGTGCAAAGGTGTCCAACCATCAAAATCCTGAGCATTGACATCACATCTAGCCTGTAGTAAGATTCTGGAACGTAAATTCTAGATATAGCAAATAATAAATAATGACTTTACTTATTACCTTTACTTAAGTATTATCTGTCTGATAATTGATTCTACTAAAGTTTAAAATATCTTACTCCATAACATCAACATAACCCTTTGCAGCAGCAACATGAAGTGCAGTAGCCCCTGATTTAGGGTGAATTGTATCTTTGCCCGCTGCTCCTGATTGCCATGCTCTGGCATCATTTAACATTGACCTTTCTTCTTCGCTTCTGGCTTGGTCACAGTCTACACCTACAAAAAAAAATTTGAATTAAAGCTGTATTCTTCCTGAAGTAGTAATCACACGATTGTAATATATTATTTAAATAAAATGATTATAAGTACAAACCAGCTTTATCAATATGTTGTTGTAGCATATCTTCCATCTCATCACTTTGTGCAATATCAAGAGCTAACTGACCATCATAATTCACTGCTGCTAAGTTACATCCTTTTTCTATTAAATATCTATAAAATGTATTATTTTATTTTTAAAATATAACTAATACTGTAAATGTGTGTGTGTGTTGAATATAAAAAGATAAAATAATACTAACTTAGCAATAGATATAAATCCACAAGATGCAGTTGCATGCAATGGTGTCCATCCTTCGTTATCACCACAATTGATATCAGCTCCTTTTTCCACTAAAAATTCGACCATATCCAGATCATCATTGATACATGCCTATAATTAAAATATTGTAATTCCTTTTAGTTCTATCATACAGCTAAACAAATTATTAAATATTACATATATATAATACTATACACTAAGGAGATAATATATATACATATATGTAAAAATTTGTATAATAAATATTAGGTGTAAAAAAGCACATTTGAAATATTATTATAATATTAATGTGTTTTGCTTATAATTGTTTAGTAATGCTAACCAGATACATATTGATAAGTTCATCAGAGGTACCAGATCATTTAATTATTTTATGGTTTTGTATGTACAAACACAAACTGATATAAAATGATATTTAAAAGAGGATGTCTTATATGGATTAAGAAGGACATTATGTATAATAACATTTTAAGACAGAGGACATAGAATACAGATGCTGCAGCTTCTGACTTCTAACAGAGAACTATAAATAGCATTTGATGCCTGATGTATTTTCACATTCTATTTTCGCAAATCCATGAAATGCCTAAACTTCCTCTTACTATCACGCTTAAATAACAGTAACAAATACAATATATTCTATGTTAAATACTTTATTTATATATATACCTTTCCAAATAAGTTATTCTTTATATAAGTATAATATAAATGTTTCGCGAATAATATTGATTACATTCTATAATTATATAACTATAAAAATATAATAAATATGATCCTTTTAAATACAACAAAAATAATACCTTGTCTAAAGAAACAAAAAGAAGATGATGAAATTATATGTATTAAATAATTAGCCTATTTTATTTTTAACAAATAATCCTATAATTCATACATCTTGTTAATAGAAATGTTTTCTGATTAATATACCTATTTATACCTATTTACACTTTGCTACTTTGATAAATATATGAAACAAGATTGATCCTAAGAGGAAAAAACATTTATTTTAGTCGTGTATGTAAAAATTTATAATTGTTACTGTATTTATTAACAAAATAAGCGTATAACATTTTATTAATTAGACGATGAAACGTAATGATACAATTAAAAAAACAAACGGTAAGGAAATAATATTATAATAAAAGGGAATGGTAGCAGTTTTTATTTAGAACATTTAACGTTCTACATATATAAACAATATTCGTAAGAGGAGGGGGAAAGCGGACAGTTTTGTCGGGTGTTTTCAGAGGGAGTAGTTGCATGGCTTGAATTGTGTGAGAGATAGCGGAAGCGTATACTCCGTGGCGGAACCACATCTGCATTTTTCCCACCATTAAAATGTAACATCGCGAGTACGAAAGAAACTTTAAGCGATCAAATTTAAATTAAATGGCTAGAGTACGTGGTAGCCATCTTGCGCGTAAGAATTATGATTGAAGAGAAAAAACAGAGAAATAGATAGGAAAGAGAGAGAGAGAAAGCAAACGAGAAGAAACTCGGTCGAGATTGTTGTTGGGTATATGCCTATGCAGAGGGAAGAAATTTCAGAATATAAACAAAAGTGTTAAAGAGAGATGGATACCTGATGTAACGCTGTGAGACCATCAACATTTCCGGTGTTGATATCCGCCCCCTTTTGGAGTAAACGTATGACCTCCTCCTTGTCGCCTGCCGCGCATGCTGCCAGGAATACACAATCCGCAGAGAACTTGATCTTACGTGCGACTTGACGTGGTTGGGCCGGTTCACGATTTGTTTCGGACTGTTCCCAACGTTTGAGCTGTTCAGCCCTTTTAAACAGGGCTGAGCTCGAACGACTCTCGAGAGACATTGCCCGAAAACACGCACGACTGCACTGAAAGAACTTTATAACCACTTCGCACGATCTCTTCTTCTATTTCTTTCTCTTCTTCCCACTTCTCTCTCTCTCTCTCTCTCTCTCTTTGCGCTTTTAGATTTCCACTTCGCCGAGGCCACTTACACTTCAGTTCACTTTGCGTGATTCGACACGCTGAAACGACCGTTTCCTACTTCTTACCTCCATATACGACCTGATCACGAATCCCGTGTTTTTCTACAAAAATATATGCGTTAAAATTCGTTCTGACGGACCACGAAGGGAGCGGTCGGTCGCCTTCACCAGACTCAGTTACAGGACGGCTAGATTCGCGTGCTCTTTGCTATTCTTGGCCGTCCCGTATCGTGCGAGCCGTGTCGAAACCAACGAAACAACCTGTAGTGTAGCCAACATTCTATTATTTTATGTCCCTAGTATTATCCTTATTCCCGTATCACATGTAAGTTAACATTCAGGCGTATTTTTATATGCAACAAATAAAGACATTAATTTTCAGAAAATTTTCGAAAAAGTTTATTAAAATTAAAAATGCTTTTTAGGATTCTAGGAAAGACTATTTTTTGGAAAGATATTGGATATCTTTCGGTTACACTGAAAAACCTCCTTGTGGATAACCTAAAAAATATCTTTTATCGTTTCATAAATTACAAATCAGAGTCTGCTGAAATTCATACTTTTACGCTCTATACTATAAAGTTTCTTAGTTTAAATTAATGTTGCAATAATTTATTGAAGATCAGTTTAAAATAACAACGCAGTAAGAATTTCGTGAAGCGAGATAGATTATCTTAATGAATTTTATTCCATGACTATGGATGACAGGGTTGAGTGGCATGAAATGGTGTAAACGAGTATGCGCGGAATCGCAACCGTTAGAAAATTGCGCCATTTTTTAGTTGTAACCAAGATAATTTTCCGAGTGTTATAACATTAGACTAAATATTTATGATATCATAAACGGTGGTACGTATATACATTAGTTTTAGTGTGAATTTCTCACTGAGTGATTCCCCTCAAGCGAAATTCTGACTACGCTTTCGTAGGTGTACCAACGGAAGCTTCGCGCACGAGGCAACATTTTTACCGGGTTGTTTTAAGAAAAGTATTTGTTTCTGTAAACAAAATGTCGGTGGATACGCTTAGTGATTCGGAACTGCGTAGAAAATTGATGGAATATGGGTACCCGGTGGGTCCAGTGACACAGACCACTAGAAAGATTCTTGCGAAGAAATTAAAAAATCTGATTGAAACTCGAGGCGGTACAGGGTCACGACATTCATTGGCTGCCAGGTACATTATTCTTTACTACCTAACACATGCATCTCTATAAATTTCAAATTCTTAACACCACTGATTTGTGTTGTACAATTTAAATATCGATGACTCAATTTTTTTATTGTTATTTTTGTTTATGTCAAATGTAATACCAAGTGTTTTTAAAATAAAATTTATATCCAATGTTTGTATATTAGATACAGCAGCGAAGATACGGATGATGATTCAAGTTCAACAGTTAGTAAGAAGAAAAAGACAACAGCGAGCTCTAGAAGACAAACTATGGCAAATCCAATGCCTCCACCTTCGCCGGTTTTAACTTCTTCCGATGTAAACATACTAAAAAATGTCAAAGACAAAGGAGATTCTGAATTCAAAGATCCTGTGGTACCAGATTATGATAGTTCGTCGTCCTTTACAACGCGTACATTAACAAAAACTACTCATAAGAAGTATATGAAATCTAACAAGTCGTCAAGTGTAACCGACGGACTAGAAACTGGTTCAGATTCGGATGTTATCGAAGAACCAATCAAAAGTTATTCGCCGTCTAAATACTTATCAAATGTTGGAAAATCTCATGATTCTATGATATACAAACACAATGTATCTGATCAAGAACAAATTCCAAAATCGTATGATGCAAAATCAAGGTCTATTCATACTATAAAAGACAACAAATACAATGAATCAGTTTTTGATTCCAATATGTCTCCGATACAAGCTACAACCGAGGATGTATGTATGAAAGATAATTCAAATCAAAGAGATCTGCTGGCAAGTTATGAAACGCCATTTTTATCAGAATTCACTAGGAGACTCAGCTCAAGATCATCTGTAAATTTACCATCGACATCGTTGTCGAATTTGAAAAGCAAGTTCCATTAAATTTAATTAAAAAATGTATGGTATGTATTAGCACGTTTATAATGTACTATTTTATTTTTTAGGCCCATCTTCGTGTCTTACATCAAATGTACCAGACTTGAAAGAAAAAGATTCAAACGGTCATTTTTCGTCCTTACGATCATTGTATTCCTCATCAAATGCTGGGTATGTATAAGTTGATACAAGCTATTTTTATACTGTACTATAACGTAGATATGTTTTAGTTCAAGGCACACAACATCGTCCGTGGATAGACCTCGAGAAACGATGAGTAGAACGTTCAAATCTTCACCTACGAACAGAGAAGATACGCGCAATAACCACAATATGGTGTCTGTGATTTTAGTCATGGTACTTGCTTTATTTTTTGGAATCCTTGCCGTTATATACATGGGACTTAGTGGAAAAACAGAAACTTTTCCATCACTTGCAACGGGTAGGTATTCAGAATTATAACAACTGTTTAAATTATATATATATATATACATAGATAAATACATTAAAAAATGGAACACAAATGATATATTTTAACTGGTAGTTTGTGGGGAAAGCTTTTTAAATAAATTCATTAGTATTAACAATAAGTGCATTGCAATATGTACAGTGTGTATTATGAATTTGAATCTTTTAAAATATAAAAGAAAAAAAATTTTTTAACATAAGTATTTATTAATTTGTTGCATGAAATATCCATTGATCATGATGCACAGTATTGTACTAGATCTATTAGAGATTTTTTTAATCACTCGAGAAGTCTCTGCAATATCACTAAAATAGTGGTTTATAGGAATCTCATAATTTAAAAGAATTGAAAAACATGTAATCAATTTCATAATACTCTGCTTGAAATATGTATTGTTTTTTTTTTTAAATATGTATAATAAAACAATAAGTATTACTGATGTATTAATTTTAATATTTTATTTCCTTTCCCCTTATGATAATTTTATTCCTGTTGTTATTCGTATAAGACATTGAAATTTTCTTCAGCTGCATGCACGAAACAAATACCAAAAGTATATTAGTAATTTCCATTTGGAGATATTGAAATTAAAATGAAATAACATATGTTTTATATACTTTGATAATCAATTTTAGATGTATATTTTGATTTATAGATAGCAACATACCACTGTGTTTTCTCGAGGATGACCTTGAAACACCTGGAGTTAACTGTGTACTGAAAGAAAACGTAGAATCGGTACTGCAATTATTGAAGCGGCTTCAACCGATTTTAACGAAAAAAGCTGTGTCCATGATATGCGACAATTCTAGCGAAACGCCTTATTTAACTGATTCTGAGATCATGCAAATGTTCACAAATAGTAGAGTGGTATGTTGAAAATGATTGTAATTAAACTGAAACTTGTTCCATCATCTTTATCATCTATTGATCGATTTTACAGACAAGCCTGGAGGTGAAGGAAGATTTGCAAAATGCACAATTGCTTGTTATAAAGAATCCTCAATGGGGTATATCCCTGATAGATATAAGCGACGATAATGGAAATCCTGGCGACGTTTTGGATTCCTTGGTATTGTAAAAAAGTTACTTGATAACGTTTTATCGCTATTATACGTTTGCGTGATGTATATAAATTAAAGAGAAAGGCATACGTTTCTTACAGGATAAACTATTTTCTACTCGTTTAAATGGGAAAGTTGGAATGATGATCACGAACCCGGAATTGCCGATGAAATGTCTAATTAAGAACAAGCTTTTCACCATATTTTCGTCCCTTCTAATCGTGTCACTTGGTAAATTTTTGACCGACTTATTATGGGAAGAAGTTTGTTGAAAGTATAATTACAAAGTTCTATAACGCAATAGTGTTTCTTATATTAAAACAATTGCGTTCTGTTCAAAGTTTAATTAACGCTGTAACACTGACGTATTAGTAAATCGTTTTCTCTGTTATACATTAACATTTGTTATGCGACGTTCTTATGCATGCCGGTATCGTGAAATTTATTAACACGCATGTTAACATTAAATTCAGAATACATTGTATGTGTTCTATTCTCTACGTTATACTAATCCGATGGCACACGTGAATAATACTGCAATATATTCTCAGGCCTTCTAGCAGCTATAGGGATCCAGAAATTATTTGTTTGGTACATAAGGTACAAGAAAAGTACCGAGAGAGAAGTGTTTAAACTTGTTAGCGACATTATTAACATGGTCGAGATGCATCATCAAAATGCGGCTGTTGCAACGCCCGGTGGGACGCAAGAAAGTTTCCTAGCCATAAATCATGTACGGGATAATCTTATACCACCGAAAGATCGTAGAAAAATGGCTGGACTCTGGGAGAGAGCAGTTAAATTCTTAGATGAAAATGAATCCAGGTAAAATCAAAGAGCAAGTTGTAATTCTTTCTCAATAAATTATCTATCAACTAATAAAGTATTAATTTATAGAATTCGAAGGGAAGTACAACAGGTTGCTGGCGAAGAGTTTCACGTATGGCGTTGGTTACCTAATAATACTCTAAATAAATCAAACACACAGATATTTGGTTTAAATAAAAAATCTAAAGTGTGGCAAGGCCAAGCGTTTGAAACGATGGAAGGTTCTGTTAATAGTCTGACTTGTTCGCCAACACCGTGTTTAAAAATAAGGCATATGTTTGATGCCGATGTGTAAGTATTTTTACTGTTTCTTTATAGTTATTGTTATATTTATTATATGTACTGTTTCTACATATTCAGAGAATTTGAGGACGATTGGGAAACAAAAGTGCAAGATGCCATTCTAGAAAAATGTGGAGATGGTGTAAAAATTCTACATATTCGTGTAGATCGTGGTAGTCGAGAAGGTTGCGTTTATATGAAATGTATGTCGCAAGAAGATGCGGGAAAAGCTTACAGAGCTTTGCATGGATGTTGGTTCGATGGTAAGTGTTTCTAAGGTTCTTCGTATGACATTGTGTATTTTACACTATGCTGTTTAGGTCACTTAGTAACTGTGAAGTACCTGAGATTGGAGAGATACCATGAGAGATTTCCAGACGCGCGTCGTTGCACAACACCGTTAAAGCCAAGTAACAATCAACGATTATCAATGCAGGTGGATTATTAGAAGGAGTGTTACACGTGAATGTAAACTAACAAAAATACCTCTTTGCTTGTACGCGTAAGATAACAAGTAAAATTTCAATGTTAGCCGCTAAATAATTGTTTGCGGTTCAGAATCAACGAGATACTTCTATTTTTTCCTCTGAAAGAGAATAGAACTTCGTACTATCGCGCAGAAGTATGAAGTCCTTGGGACTTGTAATTGTGTGATAGTATTCTAAGAAGAGGCAGAGACTTTTTATAAGCATTTTCGTTTTCGATTTGTAACTTGTATATTATGTTCTATCGTCGTTTTTTTTTTTAAAAAGAAAAAAATTCAATATGACACTCAGCGATTATATTATTTATGAAACTACTATGAATAAGTGTAAAAAAATATCGTTCTGCTGTTGCATTTTAAGAATTCGTTTTTCCAAGTAGCAATATACAAGTCAACGATATGCATATCTAAATTCATATGCTATAACATATTCTTTTTCTCTCTTAATAAAAGACTAATAAATTTATCATCTAATATCTAATCACACTATCTAATAGTAACTTCATAAATCATTAACTCTCCCATGTAGTTTGTTACTATTGAATAAATCAAAATAACTTTTGTAATGCTCAGTTTGAAAAAGTTTTGAGAAAACTTCAGTGTAAAATACAAGATTTTAATGTCACCAAGGCATGATATTGTAATCTTTAATCTAGTTCGTATTTAAATTTGATAATTATAGTCAATATGTAGATATTAACGAGATATTATAAAGAATCCAGATAAAGATTGATGCTGAATATTTTAAGTATAGATTTTTTTTTTTTTACTCTTACTAGTAATGTTTTCTATTTATTGTGTCGCAGTATAAGCATATTGTGAGATATACTTTATTTTATATTTTGTAGGAGCGACATTTTAGTATATTCTTTTAAGCATACTAACGTATACGATGTATATTGCTACTTAAAATGATAATTAAATTAAGTTTTTTATTTTGTGTACTTTCAAACAATTTCTGAGATTCATGTATCATTACTTTTAAACGAAATTTTGAAGAAAATCTTTTTTAATACCGAATACAGATTTCTTTAAATTATTTATCATCATACTTTGTTTTTTTTTTTTTTACAAATAAATACAGACATAAAGTAAGATACTGTTTTGTAACTGAAAACAGCTTTTCATAAATAATGAAGTCTACAGTACAAATTAAGGTCAATAAACATAGAAACTTCATTTGAGGCATTAAAACAAAGGCTTTATAATTCTTATTTAAAACTTTATATTCGTTATATGTCAATATTTCTAATTCAATAGTGTTTGATATGTAATGAAATTACATTAACATCTTATATATATATATATAATATTTTAATGTATATAAACTTTATTAATAATAAAGATAAAAATTATATGTATAATTTTAATGTAATTCCTCAAATGAGGTACATATACAACTAGAAACAAATTAAAATAGCACACAAGAAATATCTTCAGTAAAACATCTATGGTTTCAAAGTGCACAAAACTCTTAAATAATTAATACAGTTTCTTCAGAAACGTCAATTTTTAATACCTACTATAACATGTAGTTTTAAATTTGAAAGCTTTAAGAAGTTTCTTTAATTTTACGAGTCTATAATTTATAAGTTGTACAGTACCAAGTAATGTAGATTTCCCGAAGGGGATGACAATGCCCAGGCTTCCCCACCGCTGTAGGCTTCCGGACGCGCAACCCTCACCATAGCCGGCTCCGGAGAAAATGACGATAGAGGGGAGAGAGTCCCATATATATAGTCCCGTGGTCCCCCACCATTTGCGCGGGAAAATTTGAATTGCTATTTATGTTATTTATATTTCTTAATGATATACCAAATTTTATAATATTTAATGACTGAAAATTATATTATTTTAATTCTAAATCAATTTTGGCATTAATATCGTCAAAATTAAGATTTTATATAACGTAATGTGTCATTTGTAATCATAAGTTTGGTTCCACAATTTTAGCCATGAAAAAAGTGCACGGAAGATAGTTTTCTTTTATAGCGATACAATAATTTAATGTAAAATGACGTATTTGTTCAATAAAAGAATTACACGAAATTTAATATAGATGTAGTGAAAAGTTTTTTATTTTATGTTAAATTATGAAATAAAATTTAAAATGCGCCATCTGTTGAAGGAAACAAAAGAGAATATGATTTTCTAATCTATGTTTTTAGTTGCTCAAAGTGGTAACAGACATGCTTCCACAGCGCCTCGGTCTTTTCCGGTCATCCCATAACGTGTGTGAGGTAATGTAATCTTTTATGAAAAAGATACTTTGTGAAATCCACAACAATCTAGCGATGCAATAAACTTTATGCCATATTATTTGTGCCATTTAATATCATTCAATATATTTAAGCAAGGCTAAGTATTATTTTTAAAAAGGGGTGTTGGTTTTATTCATATGCATTGAAATCTAACCTTATTTTTTAATACTTGTAAACATACTTTTCTAAATTAAAATTCTAATAGAATTATATTTGTTTAATTAATCTTAAAAGTTGATTCTTGCATTGAGAGCTGTACACTCAAAAATTGAAATACAATTGTTTTCTTTATATTAAATTTGTTAAATAGTTGACAGCTTGATGTTGTATGAACCATACATAACCTACAAATTTTCACATAGTGAAAACTGTATAAAATAATGCTTGCAAAATAAAATTATATGCTAGAGTATAATTAATATTTCATTTTTAAGGATGCGATTCTAAATAATATTTTCTGGTACATTACAGGATGAAGCAAATCGTAACAAATCAAACTGTGAAAATACCTGAGGGATTGACTGTTACAGTCAAATCCCGATTGGTTACTGTTAAAGGACCAAGGGGTGTTTTAAAACGTTCTTTTAAACATCTTGCACTTGATATTCGTGTAAGTAGATATGTTAACAAGTGAAATATTTAATTTTAACATATAATCTGATGATACTTGGATTCCCCTTCATTTTTTCATAGATGATAAATCCGTATCTGATGAATATAATGATAATAAGAAATAGCAGTATAATTAAATATTGTTCTTAAATTTATTTCTGACCTCTTTTCAGATGGTAAGTCCAAGGTTACTGAAAGTGGAGAAATGGTTTGGAACCAAAAAAGAATTAGCAGCTGTTCGCACAGTTTGCTCTCACATTGAAAACATGTTGAAAGGAGTGACTAAAGGATACCAATACAAAATGCGAGCTGTATATGCTCATTTTCCCATTAACTGTGTTACAACTGAAAACAACACAGTTATTGAAATTCGTAACTTTTTGGGTGAAAAATACATCCGACGTGTAAAAATGGCACCTGGTGTGACCGTCACAAATTCAGCCAAGCAAAAGGATGAACTGATAATTGAAGGAAATTCCTTAGAGGATGTCTCTAGATCTGGTAAATATTAATATTCTTGCATTTCATTTCTAATAAATACACAAACTGAACATGTTATCATATTAATGGGTAATTTTCGTTTCAGCTGCGCTTATACAGCAGTCTACAACAGTAAAGAACAAGGATATTAGAAAGTTCTTAGACGGTCTCTATGTATCTGAAAAAACAACAGTTGTACAAGATGATGAATAAATATTATTTACAATTTGAATGAGACTCCTGTCAATTTATATATTTTGTTAATGACCTACTGCTATGAATAAATATGTGTTAACTTTAAATAACAAAGCATGAAACTGTCTTGCGCGTTTTAGTTCATAATTACACGGTGATATATTAGCGCATGTAAATAAACTCCCATAAAACAAATAATTTTGAGTAATTAAGCGATTAATTTAGTAATTGAATTGCGCATATATCCTTCGGTTAAAAAGTACCGTTGAAAGACCACGAGGCCGGGTCAATGGTCATCCTGAGTCACACTTCATTGTGATACTGACCTCGTGGATGACAAAGGCACGTTCGGTCATTTCAATGCATTACACTATCCAATGTAATAGATAATTGAATCAAATATGAATTCAATGTAATAAACACATAAAAGGTGCCAATTTAAACAGTGACAAATTTTGGAAAATTTCAATAAATATTGATCATGATCTTGTCTAAATAAGAGTAATAAGAAAACAGAAAAAAGTATCATTTTCTTAATCCCCCTTAATCAAGAGCGTACCTTTGTACTATGTTATGATAAGATTGTTTAAAATGCTCTTTCTAAAAGTACGAGTCATTGATATATCAACTTCGCTAATTAATAAACGATTACGTATCTATGAATCTATATTATATTATAACTGTACCTAGACATAGAGGAATATCAACTTGATGCATAACCATATGCCAATAAATTGCTGATTTAAGAAAAAAAAAATGAAGAGCACTTTCCTTCTTATGCGGATATCTTACATAAGCATTCAAGTTCATTGAAATCGGTGATAAACTTGTATTGCTATTTGAACTCGAATAGCAGTATTATTCCGATTTCATTTACAATTAATACAAGTTTTTTGCTCCTAAACTTTTGAAAAATATATTAAATAAGGGTGTTATAAATAGTTCATCGAAAGATTGGGATAACTTGTACTTGTAATTGAAAAAAAAATTAAAAGCAGTTTCTAAACAATTAAAACATTATTTACAAAATTATAAATACTGTTCGCTCTCTACTTAGAAATAATTTTTTTTTATTAAGACAACACTGAATGTGTTCGAAAATAATTTGAATGTTAATCAAACGCGAACTAAATTGCAAAACAAGAATATTGGAAATGATAATCATGGGACAAAATAAGGTCATTTAATTAACATTGTTAATTTAGAAGATTTAGAGAAACCGGATCGTTAAATCCATTGAATTATCGATAACCTACGATAATTTATTAGATACTTTTAGCGAATGAATATTTGCGTTTTAACAATATCGAAGAAACTGTAATTACTATTTGGCAGGGTCATTTTTGACTTTCGACTATCATGAAACTTTCAATTTCTTCGATTGATGGAAAAGCATTATTTCAGATATTAACATAATTCTATGATAAGGGGATAATCACTTTACATGTATGTAAAATAAAATTAGAGACAGATTGATTCAACAATTCACCCAAAAACAGAAACCCCTTGATAGCAACCCCCTTAGGTCGGTGCAAGGCGGGTTGCCTATCTCCAGGCGCAATACTAATCTCGATTAGAATAAGCTAAAACAATACCTTACATTAAGTAATAAAGAACTTCGTTTTCTTTAATCACATTCCAATCTTTCAAACCGCTTTATTTGCAAATTGGCAATATAACTTGTAATTATGTTACGCAGCAAGTTTTCTTCAAACGTGTGCAAAAAAAATGAATGTGCAACATGTTTTCAGTTATCATCGCATATATTGCATAAATCACACGTTAAGAAATATGCCAGTAAAAAAACATAACGAATCAAATAAATCTTTGCTACGAATTACTCATTGTAATGATCCCCTTACCTTTATTAATACTAGATTGCCGGAGCGAGTCAATTTGACACATTTACGATTTTATTGCTATACATACAGAAAAACTTAAATAATTTTTTTTAAAACATATGTTGGATTTTAACAGAATTATGAAATGTAAATAAATACTAATTCCTTCTCCTCCCCGCTCCTGGGTTCCAAAAATCCATATGTTCCATACCTGTTTTAACGGATGTGAGTCCAACCATCTAATGTTAAGGATACATAGTTAACGTAAGTATATGCAACGTTCTCTTTTGCTACCTGGTTAGTACTGATACGTTTGTTGCTTGGATCTTAAAGCGGCTATGTCATCGTGTGTTGCAGCATTTAAGCGTTGCCGATCGAACGCACGATAACTTGTTGACAATCTTGTACGCAAAGCGGGTGCAAAAGCATCAATTATATGCTCGCATGTGTTTTTGTTTATATCGGAGAGCTATCTAAGAATTAACGAGTTAAATAATGTGTCAAAGCAGGGATTAGAAGTGGTCATGCGAAAGAAGAAAAAAAAGAAATGCAGAGAGGGGGCGAGATGTTGTCGATCAGACGGAGGGAGGGGAATAAAGCGATGATAGAGGGAGGTAGTAAAGGGAGAGAACACGCGGTGTCGAGTGCAGTATTCGATCGGCTGTAGTAAGCGGTTCGGATCTCGCGCATGTCAGGCCCTCTACGGTATTTTTAGTGAATTTTCGTATGTGGTCATGTCCACGTCACTTTTGCCCGCGCTTTCGCAGCAATAAGCTCGCGTTCGAATCGACACCGGCCGTTTGAATGAACGCGACTCGTACCACTTACCTGTCGTTCGTGAAACATTTGTGTAGGAAAGAATATTTCACGGTGGAGGTTGAAGCGAAAGATTGAAGGAAAAGATTAGCTGCTGCTATTGCACCCTCTTTACGGTAAGTGCGTACTTTTGTCGTTGATAACTTCGGGGGGATACCACCATGCGCAAGTAACTTCACGATACCCTGAAAAGAAAAATTTCTAGCGTTAGTCGCATATGTTTACGACCACGTTGTTTCTGCTTGAATAATCGCGAACAAAGACCAAACCGTAAACAGGCGCAGTCGGACGAAATGGTATTTATCAAAGTTGTACAATATCGTAACACTATTTGAAGAACGATTCATAACTTAGTAAATCTTATCGATTTCGATTATCGATGTTTCGATACGCAATTGATGTCGAAATCTAAGTAGATACTATTTATAACATTGATCTCTTGTTTTTCAAATAATTAATGAACAATCGTTGATGTAACTATGTATTTGTCGTTCTAATGGCAATTAACGAACGGAATCAACGTTTCCGTCTGTTCGAGTAAATTAATGTATACGTACGTAATAGTGTCACAGCCCGGGAAAATATTAAGCAATACTCTAGGGAAGAATAATTTTAAACTATATCACAAAGTAGTTTGATTGTTTCTTGATAATGTGTCCGGTTGACACACTTGTTTCGCTTTGTTCGATAATACTTCATACTTCGAGATAAATCGATTCGATTTCGCGACGGTATTACTTGTCAAAGTCTAATGATAAAATTCGCGACTACTTTCACTAAAAAGGGGTGAATGACCTGCTGTAATGACAGGTTTCGTTTCATCTCTTCTAACTAAATCAATAATATTACATAGGAAACCGAAATATTTTTAATATTTCATGCTTTAAAAAATATTCGAACGGTCGAATAGGTTAAGCGGTATTGAATTCTTAAGATATCGAAACATCTTAAGATCGACCCTATCGATCGATCGAAATATTTGAACCAACGAAATTAATTTGAAATTTAGAAAAATTGTTGGCTCTTTATAGTTTCATAAGAGAGATAGTAAAAGTTTCATCATACGTTCGCGGTAATGATTCGAACTCGTCCTTCCTTGTTCCTAATACACGCTGTCCTACTTCTTAATACCTTTCGAGGAAGTTGATGGAAATCGCACGCTTATCTCGGATTTCGAGCAAATGGAAGCGCATTCTTATGACCGACTTATGCAGAGACACTTTATTTATTGTAGCATTGTTCGAAACTATGAGAGGACCACTCAAACCACTGAATATCGATATCAAGATCGAGATCGAGATTCAACAGTGCGCTTGCGTGAAAATGACCGATTGAACTTTGCGCGCATCGAGTACTATGTTGTAGACTGTTAACTTTTGTTAATCACTTACGTTATCACGAAAGCGTTTAAAAGGGGCTATTGAAAAATTCATTGGATCGCAACACTCTTTAATTTGTTTTTTTGTTGTTACGAAACATTATCACTCGATGACGTTCTTTATAAGAAATACACATAAGATAAAAATATGAAGTTAGGTATATTTCTTGCTTGATAGTGAAATCTCGTATCGAAAAGACTAATGTAGCCCAACGTGATCGTTTAATCAACTGATACGAATAATCCAATTGTTCTGTACAAATGTCGTTATTTAAAATAGATTCTTTCTCAAAGACAAAAAAATACTGGATAAATGTTTTAATAAGACCTCGTATTCATTCCATCTCATTAACGTAGTAATAAAAATGTTAAGAAAGCGTAATGGAGTAATTATGACTAATTGAAAGAAGAAAAAAAATTCTCTATGTTTATAATGGATGCAATGTAAATGATTTCAAAGGAGTGGAAAGCATTGATTCGTATCACTTGTTTTGCTCGTTTGGTTGACATCTATCGTTCGGCCAATTAATATTCCAAAATTTCATTTGTGTAAATATTTGCCAAATAAATATATAATGTCCTTGTTCAATATTGGTAAACTTGATTATGCATAATTTCTGTCAATATTACTTATTTGCGTGGTCACATATTGAGAATTATTGCTTATCAGCTAATATTTACCATTTCAAAGTATATTTCAAATCATTCGAACTTTATCAAGACTTCTTTTTAATTTGATGTACAGTCATTTTAATTTTAATTTTAATTTAATTACAATGATACGCACGACGTATAGTTTACTAACAATAAACGTAAATAACATAAATTTAAAAATAGAAAATATATCTCATTTCCTTATTGCCAATGTGTTACATTATTTAAGAAAAAATTTCTTTTATCCAGAGGAAGCCAATTACTTTCACGCACTTTTTAACCTACATATACAGACTCCAGTTATTTAATACCTCAGTGAAAGTAACCAGGTGACATGCAATTTCCATAAACGTATTTCTTTCATTGAACAGCATTATTAAAAAAATATACGCTAGAATATTCATTCAATGTAATTACACTTTGTTGTCGATTTGTTTCTGAGACTAGATACAGTGAGTCAAGAGATGAACGAGCCATTACTGGGGACAAGAGTCGTTTCAAGTAGCTCGCAAAAAGTTGCATGACTAATATAGCAAATAGAAGTAAATGTATGCGTTGCATTCATTGTACGCGATAAGTATACATGACCATACAAATTTGAACAAAACGTAGGCGTTAATTTTTTTTTTATTCATTGGAAGTCATCGAACGTTTATTCAATAATTAAATATTATCTGTAATAAAAACATTATTACTTTTTATTAATTGCTTCCATCCATAAATACCAATAATAATGCCATTTCATTTTTAATTGATTATGTTAAATCGATTAATAAAATAAAACAAAAGCAACTGAAATGTATAATCAATGGTGCAACGTGATACGCGTTTCTTTAATTGCAAGAATGTTGGATGGTACAATACTTTTTTGACTCACTGTACATGTACGTCCACTAGGATAAAAGAGTTGCAGCTAATTATTCTTCTTTCGGACTATGAATCACAGATTTGTTATGATGGTATTCCAGAGCCGTTTGCAGAACCCTCCTTGTCATTTAACTTTGTGTTCGTTCCGATGACCCGAGCGAAAGTACGATGCACGGAATAAATGCAATGTTGTGTAAATCTTTGTAGAAAGCGGTAGATAATGGCTGTTAGAAGAACAGCAGATAAATTCTCGTGAAATGGAAAAAAAAGAACCGAAATTTTTCAAAAATAAACGAACAATGTTCGACGTATCTTACCCAGGGCCGTACCTGAGATTTCGGAGGTCCGAGGTGAGCTTCGAAAAAGGGCCCCTTTGCATATATGACATAAAAAAAAGTAGCTCAAATAAAATTTATAAAATTAATATTAAAGCTTGTACAACTAATTTAGATTTTCATTTACATTGATTAATATTCAAGTAAACATTACTCTTCAAAAAAATTGTAATTGTTAATTAAACTAATAAAATAATTAAATATAATTATTACACCACCAATTAAAGAAATTGAGACCCTGGACCTTGGGTGGGCCCTAGGCGACCGCCTAGTCTGCCCTGATCTTACCAATTGTATAAATTATTATTACATTTAGTACCATTAGCGTATTTTAACGTCACTATGTATCTAAGTAGAATAAATCAGAATAATTAGTGTTAATCGTTGTTACATGAACGTACTTTGAGTTACAAGAAAAATTTAAAAATTCATGGCTGCCTACTTTTTTATCCATCCGTAAAGTTAACAAAAAAGGGAATATTGTTTCGTTGATCATCGGTGTCGACAAAGAGAAACGTTGAACTTGAATTCATGTTATCCCTTCTAAATGCGTTAACTCGGATCTTCATAATAATTTTTACTGGACTTTCATTGCTGATTCATAGCGTGCGATAAGATTTGTAATGTACTTCGACCAATCGTTATAAATCACAACCGTTGCTTTACAAATGGACCGATCAAAGTGAGCAATAAATTTTCTGCACGAGCGGATTTCACTATTTTTTAATCCAATAGCTGCGGATTGTCGGAAGCTGAACAGAATTATACTCGATAATTAATAATTGTTGTTCCTCTTTTAGCCTGAGATATCCTATTGGTCGGCCGGTGTTTTATTCGACGAATCAAAGTGATAGAGCTTCGAAGCTCTTCGATCGACGTTACTAGAGTTCTGTTACATTCAGCAACAATGATACTTGTTTAATTCCATAAACAAGATTACGGTTATCACCGCGCAGATAGTCCACTTTGTTCTTTTTGAGGAAGTTTACACAGCGATCAACTGTTTCAATGTCGTTCATGTCCTCTTAAATGATGCCACACGCATTTCTCATCTTCTTTGTCTTCTGTACATCAGAGAATAAGTCAGGTAAATATTATTCATCAACAATTTTTTTCTGATGCAGAATACCATTAAGGTTCCTTCATTTATTTTACACAAGGAAAAAAATAAAAAATTATTAGGCCGCCATACTAGAGCGATATTGTGATTTAAAAATCGATCAACCCGAGTTTTAATTTACGGAACACGAATTCAAATCTCGCGCGATAGCGTAATTCCGATTTCTCTTATATCGGTTTCTGACCATTCTTCAAGGACACCATCGATCTCTGATGTTATTCTATATAAACACTCACAGTGACCACTGTGATCGGCTTGCAAAGAATGGTCAAAATTGATAATCTAGATTTTCAGTTAAAAAGTCAGATAAATCCCGATCAGTCGTTTAATAGGGGAATTTCGCTCCAGGGCCGGCCCTAGGCCTAGGCAGACTAGACGGCCGCCTAGGGTCCCCTAAGGTTCAGGGTCCCCATAAAACGATTTTGCGTCTAAGAACGCAAGAAGAGTAATGTTTACTTGAATATTAATCGAGGTAAATGGAAATCTAAATTAGTTATACAAGCTTCAATGTTAATTTTACAAATTCTACTTGAGCTACTTCATCGTTAACGTAATATTTTTTGTTCCTATCGCGTAATCTTGATAAATACTAGGAATCACGTTTTATTCAGTCTTGTTCTGTATAATATCCTTAAAGCTAACAAATAGAACATTAACGTCCATACAATTACCAGAATTACAAGTTTCATAAAAAAAAATTTTATAATTTACTTGAAATATGTTGAGTCATAACAGGATGTTCTTCACGCTGTATCCTCGGTGTCAGTGTTCAGGGAAAAATTAAGTATGCAATTATGATAATCAAGAAGGATCTGTGATATACGATTTATGTGGATTTTGTTTATTCTCCATGACGTAATACTCGTGCACGTGTTTCGATGAAATACGAACAGAAAGTTCTAAGTCCAGTAACCTTTGTCTTTTCTCAGATGTAGACTTAATTAAATGAAATACTTTGATTATATTTTTGCTATCAATTGTTTTATGCAGCTTTACTTACAATTAGAAGAAGAATTAGACCGGTTACCACTTACTTGGAAATGTTTCTGTCGAAAAGTATCGAATCAAAGTTCTCGAGTCTCGAATGCAATCGATTGGTTGTTTCGACTTTACTCGTTAAATTCGAAGTTTCGAAGTAAACGATAAATTAATGCTTGACACTTTCAACGTAATTAATATTTCCATCACGATTTCTAATGTAAATCAAAATTGATGCTAACTTCTAATATCTACCGGAAGTAGTCTAGATTTAATGTCCCAAATGACATCACATAGCGATGATAGTATGCTTATTGCGATTACATTATAGGTTATATTCTCGAATCGAATCGCTGGTATTTAAATCTCGAAACGTTGCAATGGTAAAGAATCTTTTGAATTTCATTCTAAAGACACTTCTACGTGTTCTGACTAGTATTGTTATTTTAGAATGGTCCTTTCGTACGTCTTTATATTTTTTGTGCAACCTTACCGACAAGGTCGCAGACAATCATAAAATCTACACCTTTTTTTGTCTTCTACACAATGCAAAGAATTCAACTCAGTCAAAAGATTTCAATTTATCACGTTGATCCGTATCATTGTCAATCAATGGAGATTTACAAAGATCAAATTTTCAGTGATAACGTAATCCAAGCACGTAATTATTCAATACTAAAAGTCAATACAATTTTTCATTAAATTTCAATCGCTCTTTCATATCTTAGATTATCGAGAGTGTCAGATAAGGAAGTCGGTGATCTTTGTATTAACCGTTGTACTTATTATTTGTTTGTTCAATAAATAAAATCCATTTTCGATCGAAAGCTTCTTTGTCGACCCTGACATAAAATTCCCTAGTCCCAGATAGTTTTATATATATTGGTCCACCGATTGTTCGATGAATAACAGATTACGTGAATAACTATGAAATTATTTGGCGACTCATCTGGAAATCCCCATTCAAGGTCTTTCTACGTACATATAATTATAGCCGGTGTTCTACCCGATTCCTCTCAAGTTATTGCTTCAATTCGACTCGTGAAATTACACAGGAAGTGCACATCACAATACGCAATAGATTCACTTTGTACCTGTTAATCGTTATCAATTACATTTTCTATTATATAATCACTGGACGAACATAAGACGCTTATAAGGAAATCAAGTGACCTTCCCTTGAATGGTTTTCAGATGTATTTCCAAATGAAAAAGAAAGCGAAAAACAAATTAACGAAACAGAATGAACACGAGAGGGTTATTCTTCGACGGCCTTGTACGGTGTCATTGATTTTGACCAAACTATAGCGGGGGAACAGTTCTGAAAAACCAGTTTAGATATTTTGTCAAAAACATTGTAAACGCGGTAGAATTCCATCGAATTGAACCTATGCAGGACCTTGGTCCTATAACTTTAATGATCAGTTCATGGATGGAATTATACTATTTTTAGAGTTACAATGAAATGTGACGCTTGACAGACAGTAAATTTAATTACCATCTAACCTACTGCTTGCAAATGAAATTGATACTCTTTCGCGCTCAACGTTGTTGCGTTTATCTTTGCAGCGCTAGCGGAACGCTGGGAAATACTGAGAAAAATTTCCGCTATTTTCTCTATTAGGAATTTCTTCCGCTGTATTAGAAATTTCGCAATTTCGCTATGGAACGCGATTTACACCCGGAAACCACAATTTGAAGTGTGGCAATGCTCGAGATCATTATAGATAATCCATCCCCTCAACTCGGCAGCTGTGTGGCCGCTCAATATGGCGCGAACGCCGCTCAACCCGTTAATTACTATTAGATCTACAATTTATAATAAGATTCATAATTCAAATAACCGGAATTCTGCCTACCGTGTTTCTCGCATAACAATGACGTTTCTCCTTGTTACAGTTCTACAGTGCGCTCTATGTTCAACTAATTGGTCGGCGTTCGAGCGTTAATACCCTCCGGCCACTTGACCAGCTCGTCTCCTACGAGGATACCCGACGATGGAGGTATTGATGCACGAAGCGAGCAGCGGCCAAGAGACGAATCCGACCGGCGAAAAGATTTATAACACCGTTAAAGAGCCGGTGAAAGAGACGCAAGAAAATGGACGAAAGAACAGTACCACGCGTTTCATGGAAACCAATCCTGCGGACACAGTTGATATTATGTTCGAGAACATAAGTTACAAGGTGTCTTTGGGTTGTAGGAAAGGTCAGTCCCCTGGAACGTTTGATAAATTATACGATGATGACATCGGTTTTGCATATCGGTGAAAGGCTTTTGGTTGTTTCTAAACGTACAATCAAGTATAGCCAGTATCGTTACATAATTTCTTTTCAATTCACCGAGTCATACCTGGGATTGTTCTTGCAGGTCAGAAGGAAATATTGCACGGGATCAATGGAAGACTTCCATCGAAACGCTTAATCGCCTTAATGGGCCCATCCGGAGCAGGGAAATCAACTTTGCTGGATGTCCTGTCGGGATACAGGATAACTGGGGTCACTGGCAACGTGCACATTAACGGACGCGTCCGACAGATGAATTCTTTTCGAAAGTAAGCCCCGTATTGCGAAAGCAAATATGGAGTAGCTCGTCTAGAATGTAATCCTAGAATTCGGATGATCTAATCTTCTTAGCGTTAGATATTCTGCGACCCTAAAATATAAAAAAAAAATTAATGTTAGTATAATGAACAGATGTTATTGTTAATAGTAGAGTAGTACAGGTGGTACAATTATCATATCATTTTCAAGGTCCCTTTTCTTCCGCAATTGCTTTAAGGTCATCGATAAGAACCACGAGGTTTACACGCTTTTATCTTTTGACCGAACATGGTATTTTGTTTCCTGAGGTCATCTGAACGTCAGTATGTCGCGCAGAAATGAATTTATCTTTCTTAGATTATAACATATTGGTCACACTTAATGAAAAATATCAATGACCTCAAGAAAATGATCTTGACCAAATGATCTTATCCATACAATTTGCTTCCTAAATCTTTGCGACAGGAAAGATCAATGATTTTGAAATGACTGTGCTGCTTATCTTGAAGAACAGAAAATTATGTTTTGAAAATTTGTTCGCTTATTAAAACGTTCTTGACACGATTAATATTTTGTAGAAAGCATTCTGTTTTGTTATTCATTTTGAAACCACTTTATAAATTTGCTTTTAGTTAACTACCATGCGAATAGATAGAAAAGAAATGAGCGACCTACTTTGCATAACAACTTCTAATTAATCCTTTCGCTGTATACAGGATGTTTCAAAAATCAAATACACCATGAAAATTTGAGTCATCCTGTAGTACCACTGCAATCAAAATATTTAAATTAATTAAACGTTAATGTCATTTATATATATGTTACCATAGGTGTAGCGCGTACATCACGCAAGATGATCGTTTGGAACCTCTACTGACGACCATCGAGAACATGAGAGTCGCAGCTGACCTCAAGCTACCCACAAGTATTCCCAGATACGAAAAGGAAACGATAGTAAGTGGTGGTTCATTATTGGGGTCGATTTGTCAACATGTAAATATAATTTAAAGTGCATCTCATGCTAATTGTATTACAGACATAAATTTGGAACGGTTGATAAGATATGAACTTCTGAAACAGGAGTGTGTTTTAATCAAAAAGTTAATTCTGTTAATTTCTTTTAAAATAAAATTTCATAATAGGCTTAATTTAGGATCTTTTCTTTTTTTTTTTTTAACTTTTCAATTAATAACATATTACTTTTCTTAATTTTCTTAAAAATTCTATGAAGCTTCTGCGTCACATTTTATAGTTGAATTTTTTCCTCAAGTATTTCACTCTTTATATATTTCTCTCTAAGATATGTTAATAATCTTGCAAAGATTTTGTTTCTTAACAAGAAATTTCATATTCCAGATTGAAGAGATTCTGGTAACGCTAGGCCTTTATGAGCATATGAACACGCGAGCGGAGAGATTAAGCGGCGGTCAAAGAAAGAGGCTGTCTATCGCTCTGGAGTTGGTTAATAATCCAACCGTTATGTTCCTCGACGAACCAACTACGTAAGTGTAATAGCACGAAGAGTGATATTCCGTACAGGGTATCTCCTTGGTCGTGAACATTGATTTATTATTATTGTCGAGCAAATTTTTTTAAAGCATACTGTTGAATCAATGTATCGAACATCTATGCTGTTATTCCAGGGGTTTGGACAGTTCATCTTGCACACAAGTAGTGAATTTGCTGAAGCTGCTCGCGCGACAAGGAAGGACAATCATTTGCACGATTCATCAGCCTAGCGCGTCTATCTTCCAGCTTTTTGATTTGGTAGGATATTCGCGCGAATAGAAACCAATCTGATTTGCGTCGACCTGAACTGAAATCATGTAAAATTTTAGAAGTTGAACAGATTTTATAAACAACTACATTGAGAATTCAAATTCGTTTAATTTTGTAATTAAATTGTTAGTTAGAATTTTAGTACTGATTATTATTTATGGTTGGACACGATAGGTGTACGTAATAGCGAAAGGAGAATGCTTGTATCACGGTGCAACCAGCCAATTGCTTCCTTACTTGGAGAGTATCAAAGTGCCCTGTCCAATGTATCACAATCCAGCCGATTACGGTATATAAAATAATCTCTTCTAAACATACTATACATTTCTTTAACACGTTGAACGCCATGGGGGTCACCGATGACGGATACTGCAAATTACACATGCCTGAATAATTAAAAGAAAACAATAGATAAATAGAAGATAAATAAAAGATAAATAGAAAGCTTAAAATTTGAAATTTGAAAATTAACTATTTCTATTCTTAATAATTACAGCTTCGTTACGTCCTATAACAAATGGCCATTTTCACTGTGGTGTTTTAATGTGTTAATTCATTCCTCTCTCATTTGTATATTTCAATTTTTACAGTAATCGAATTATCCTGCGGTGAATATGGAGAAGATAAAATACCGTTGTTATTATCAGGATCAGAAAATGGCAAGAATTTACGGTGGTTTGAAAATCCTAATACTCTTATAGATGCAAATGGCTTAAGAGGTATATAAACATCATCAAATGATTTTTAAGTAATTCGTTACGATACTGATGTTGTTTTCTTTCTACCTTTCGAAGCATTGCATCCTCTCAAGAAGAATGGAGGTGACAACAGTCTGCAGGCGACCTCCTTAACGCATCAAATTAAAATCTTGTTGGGAAGGGGTTTTCTGATGAGCAAAAGAGACACGGTAAATAGTGAAACTATCCTGTTCATTAGAGAATCAAGAGAATGATTAAAGTCTCAGTAATTAATTATTTGATTTCTAATTTGTTAGATACCTTGCTGATGATGTCATTCAGTTAGGCGATTCATTGAATATTTTTTTAAGCAATGTATTATTTAATGCTTGTTCCAAAATTTATTCCTCATTTCTATAACTTGTTTATATGTTAGAATTTTATTTGTAATTATTTCCATATTCAAATGGACACTTTAGCCAAGGATTATGTTGCTATTTGTTTTTTACGAATTCTAATCAATTCCTCTCTATCTTTTTTCGTTTTAGACTTTAACACACTTACGAATACTAGTCAACATATTCGTCGGCCTTATCCTCAGTTCGGTGTTCGTCGAAACCGGAACAGACGGTTCTAGAGTTTTAGATAATTATAATCTTCTGTTTTCTATTCTTATACACCAATTGATGACTACAATGATGCTCACCGTGGTTACTTGTAAGTAATCATTGATTTATATATATCTTAATTAATAATTAATTTTGATATATCTTTCCAGTTCCTATGCAGATGAGTATCCTGTTGAAAGAACACTTTAACAGATGGTACAGCTTGAAGGCATTCTACACAGCCACGACGTTGATTGACATACCAATTTCAATACTCTGTTGTTTAATTTTCACTTTAATTGTATATTTCATCACCTCTCAGCCATTAGAAATCACGAGATTCTCAATGTTCTTTGCAATCAATTTATTAGTAGTTTTTATTGGTCAAGGAATTGGCCTTATGATTGGAGCAGTATGTAACGTAGTTGTAAGGATATTTCTATTCTAACATGTTTCATATCTAATAGCCACAATTAGATTTAAAGAAAATTCTTTGAATTTTAGAATGGAACTTTCATAGGGCCTACTTTGTCCGTACCATTGATGATGTTCTCAGGATTCGGGGTTTCATTAAGGGATATACCTGGTTATCTGAAATGGGGAACATACATCAGTTGCCTAAGATACGGTTTGGAAGGGTAATATTCATATTATCAATATTCTATAAGACTCGAGTATCGAAATCTTGATAGTATGAAAATTAATGATTCGTATAATTTGTAGATTCATCAGTGCCATATACGGGTACGACAGACCCGTGTTAGCTTGCAAAGAGAAGACCGTCGGCTATTGCCATTACAAGTATCCATCGAAATTCCTCTCCGACATTGCCATGGAAGGTGATCAATTCTGGAACGACATCATGGCACTAATCACGATACTTATCATAACGCGGAGTACAGCTTATTTCCTCCTTAAATGGAAGATTATATCCATACGATAAGCCACATAATACGCTGATTAGATTTAGAATATTTTTCATTCCTCGCCAACAAACAATTTTTCACGTGATTGATAAACAGTATATAAAGAATTAAGCATTAATTTCTATGTCTGGTATTGATTAAAAAACAAAACAAGAAAATTAATAATTTCTTGAATATTAATGTGTTAAAGAATCTTGGATGTTGGCATTAATCTTTCACGGTTGAAGATCTTTTTTTTTTTTTTTTTCAATAGCTCTACCGTAAAAGGTTAATAAATGCAAGGTAATGATATTATTCTTAAACGATATCTTTCAAAGTGATATTTATAAATTGCTCAAGAAAAATCAATGATCAATGCACGCGTTTACAAGCAAAGATTCTACTATTCATAGTTATGTAAGGAATTTTTGTTAATTTCCAATTACGTTATTAGTGTATTTATATTGATGGGACCAAGAATGCTGTTAATTAGCTTCGACACTAAACTATGTGGAACCAGTAATAGTTTGTTAGAATTATAAATGAAAGTCTGAAGAATAGAAAAATTATCTTCAGAGTTTATCAAATAAGCAATAATAATTTTAACGAAAGATTAATAACAGCTGTGTTCTCTCAATTCTTGGTATTAAGTAATTCGATGATTTAGTATTTGCATAAACTTGCATTCATTTCCAAAAACGTACGTTTATCACTCTTATTAAGCGTGATTTTTAATAACTAGTATTCCATTAATTTTTCCAGAAACATATATAGTGGAAGTACGTTAACAAATTAATTTAACCATGTACATGTGTTCAATTTGATAAAACATATTGAAATATGTTCCTTTTCTTATCAAATTATATAAGAACGGATAATGTTTATCGCAACACGCGCGCCTATGCCGAATGCGGAATAGATTGCTCAGTTTAGCGTGAAAATATTTTTTACATATAAACAAGCGTTATATAATAAAGCTCGAACTGCAATTTCAAGTTCACAATTCAAAGAGTTCCCTAATGTACGAAAATGAGAACTTAAATTTACTTGTAAGACTCAAAATGTAGGGTAGTGTTTATTGACATATTTTTGTAATATTGTATATGCTCGTATATAAAAGAAGATTTAAAAAAATTATTTATAACTCTTAGTCGAATAACTTATATAACGAAGAAACGTGTGTAAATATTTTTCTATCGATTCTCAATGATTATATACAATTCATGTGTATTTTTTAAAATAAAAAAATGAAATTTTTACATTTATATTGTCTGTTAATTTCTAATAGTATAAAAGTTGGCTAGCACCATACTCTTAAAGTATTTCCATATAAAAAAAAGAACACATTATATTTAACATAATAAAAAATCGTTACCTTTTAGCTATATGAGCTTTCCATTTAAGTATCAGATACGTACAAACCTGCAGACAAACTATCCAAATACATAAAGCTATTACAGTGGTGGAATAATAAACTGATGGCATATCCATCATTTTCAAAATTTGTTTTGGAGAACGTAAATGACAGTAAATTTCATCACATTGTAATCTTTCTCTACCTCCATCATAGATTGCCTGTAAAATACCCTCGAATGCGTATCTGTAAAAAAAAAAATGAAACAAGTAACACTTTTTAAATAATTAATGATATATTGAGACGATACCTGAAGAAACTTATGGCACATAAAGGTTGAAGGTACAACGTCACTTCGCTAAATTTCAAGAAAAATCCAGCAAAAAGTATAATGGGCATATTGACGGCAGGAATTAAAAATACTCCTAGCTGAAAAATTATTTAAAAGAATCTTGAGTTATATAAAATCACAATAAGGGTATAATAAATATATCTCTTCAAAATACAATGTATTGCGTAACGAGCATGCTAATAGAATGCTTCATAACAATCAGTATTCTGAAGGATGATGATTCATATGATTGATTACATTTGTGTTGAACGTAACGCCAACGAGCATTCCCGATGATTGTCCAAGAATCGTTGTCAATACACAAATTAACCAAGTACGAAAAAACCTGTGACTCTCCATTGGTTGGCCAGTCATGTAATATGCAATAGCGATGAACGTGGAAGGATTTAGAATCTGAAAATAATTGATAACGTTAGAAATGACATCGATTAAAAAATAGAAAAGTACCGCACATATTTACTTGCAATGGTAAATCTGAAATAACTTTTACAAAATAGTAAGATCTTAAATGATACCAGTTGTTTAAGTATTCTCGCACGAAGACAGCAGCTTCTATGGGGACTGAAGAAAATAATAAATTAATTAGCTTTGTTCCTTATACTTTTGGTTCCATAAAAAAAAAAAAAAGAAAATTAAAACTTACATATCTGCACAGCGGGCATAGAATTGGAAAAATATAAAAACAGCAAAATAAAAAATATGCAAGCAATATTGCTGTTAACTCTATTAGCAGCGATTCCAGAATTATAAAACACTACGCCTAGTAAAAAACCTACTACCAAGTGAGCCGCGAATCTCAACTTTGTCAGAGTCTAAGACAAAATAAAAAAGAAACAAAAATATGAAAAACGTGAATTGATTTTCAAGTGCGCTTATAGAGGTGTATACGCACATTGTCGCGTTTAATACAAATCATTGCCCTTAAGAACAGGATCTTCTGTTCTTGCCAAATACGTGATTGTTTTGATTTGTTATTCAAACATTCCAATTTTGTAGCGGTCGTTACATCCTTGGGTTTTTGGATATGCGTTTTCCATTGCAAATATTTTTCCCGATTAATTTTGTACAAACTGTTCAAATCTCCGCCCCTTTCTTTCGTCACCACCTCCAAAACTGCAAATGAAACTTTCAATTTCAAATTAACATTATTATTACTACCAAACGACTCACCGAACTCGGATATGTTATAAAACTGCGGACACGTGTAGCCTGCATCGTTAAAGGTACTTAGGACATCATCCCATTTACCACAGTAATAAGACCTTCCCTTGTGCAGTACCAATAAGTCGTCAAATTGAGATATCATTCTACTACTCGGTTGATGAATTGCGCAAACTACTGTGCAACCTCCTCTAGCAATTTTATGCAGCAAACAAATTACCTATTCAAGCAAATTATTATTCTGTAGACAACTAGTATTCCTTTTTTCAATGTATTATTGAATAAATTAAGTTTACTGATCACTACAATAGACCTGATACGAAGACGTGCTGTCTAATCCACTTGTTGGTTCATCGAGTAGCAAAACGGATGGTCTTGTAATTATTTCAACTCCAATGGCTAGTCTCTTCCGTTCTCCACCGCTCAGATCTTCCACCATTGTGTCCAAGCAGTTTGTTAAATTCAAACTTTCAGCTATTTCTGTAACCTATCAATTATTTATAAATATAAATTCTTTATGTAACACCTATTCAATAAATACATAGTTGCACGTAAGAAATTTAAACCAACGCACGATCAAACAGAAAGCGCGCCGATCCAGATTCCCGCGCATTTTCAAACGCGCGGCAATGTAAAGCGTTTCTCGGGTGGTAAGCAAAGGCGATAAAGCGAACTCTTGCGGGAGATAACACGATTGCTTTCGAAAGGCGCCACCGTTCCATTCCGCTCCGTTAACGGTGATTGAACCCTGGACATTGCTAGATTTCAAGGTAGATATTATCCGAAGTAACGTGGTCTTGCCAGCGCCGGATGGGCCAACTATTGTTGTTAATCTTTCCGGTCGAAAACATCCTGTCACGTTCTCCATAATCTTCTTTCTTTTTCCTATAGAACATAGATCCTTTTTTTTTATTGTCCTGCATTAATTATAAAAGAAATCTGTTATGCAAAATTTTATTATAGTATGTGTTTATACAATATAGAAAATTTCCAACAGATATATCACTGATTCGAATGCGCATAATTCTATTGTATTTCAGCTAAAAGTGCGTTCGTTGATCATCTGATTCATAATCGAAAATTTTTGCATAAATCGTTATCATCCTTGGCCTAAGGTTTACTCGAAGCTATTTTCTACTTTAATGTCACGTTTAACATCACTGTAGCTGACCACTGTTAGCCACGTATTATCAGGAAGTGAATTCTGATTAACAATTTATACAAATGACCGCTTCAGATAAGCGAAGAACATTACAAAATATAATCGAACAAAAAAAGAGAAAACATGAAAAACATTGATTAAAGTAAAAATGTACAAAAATACGCAGTTGATAAATTCTACAATTTTAAAAAATAATTATTGCGTTCCCGATTTTGACTTGCATCGAGTGCATTCTATTTCGCAATGACCTAAATCAACTTGCATTAAACATGCAACGAACCCCGTATACGATTACTTGACGTTCGAGTGGCGAAGGACACGACTTTCTCTGTCTGGAAAAAATGACGCTACCGAAACAACTTGCCTTTACTGTAACAGATCGAGTAAGAGAGATCGTCGAACTCGACGTGCATCTGAGAAACTGGTCGTCCTTGAGGATTAACAAAATTTTCATTGTCTCTTAAATGAATCGAACAACCTTCGTCTATCATCCTCACTGTCGGATCGACAATTGCATCGTCGCGGTCCATTTCCATTTCGCTTCGTATACAACGCTATGAAAACTGTGTACCCTATGGGAGTAAATAAATACATGTATACACATGCTACATCATTTCTAATCAAGCGTGCACAGTCACGAGTGGAAACTGCACTTTGTCATTTATTACTCACCAAAGGAATCTTTGATCTGTGAAAAATCATTCAAATAATCACATGTAAAATTTCACAGTGAACTGGCATTGTAGCAATCACTTTAAAATAAATTAAAGACACAAAACATTTTTAAGGGATTATTTTGAGTAAATTATTATAAGATGCAATATTCGCGATGCTTGTATAATCTTTGTTTTTCTACACTTTGAATCACGCTTTCAATTGTTCTAATACACTTTCATCGATAAATGGACGAATCCATCAATAAAAAAAATTATCTACAATATTTGGTAACCGCGTGTAATTGATGGTAATTCTTAAAACATTTAAAAACGAGATTCTTCGCGTGATTTGTTGTCTGCGCTTTGTCTTGCACGAACATTATCTTTTATTAAAATGTTTTGTATAACATCGGACGAGCTGTGCGACGCGTACAAAATCGCCGCGGCGACTGATCCGTTTCCATTGCAGGGTCATACTTTCTCACTGCGTCTATCGTATCTTACCGCGCTTGTAATTACTAAGGCCGCCATTCGCTTCGTGGCTGACATACTGGAGCGATAATGTGATTTAAAAGTCGTTCAAAACAAAAGAAAACAACCCGAGTTTTAATTTACGGAACAAGAATTCAAATTTCGCGCGATAGCGTAATTCCGATTTCTCTCATAGACTTAACCTGACCATCCCTCAAGGACACCACTGATCTCTGATTTTATTTTATATAAATACTCAGTGACCACTGTAATCAGCTTGCAAAGAATGGTCAAAATTGATAATCTAGATTTTGAGTTAAAAATCAGAAAAATCCCGATCAGTCGCTCTGATAACTTTGAAATCAAATTTTTATAAAATGCTGTTAATATTGCAATGAATAATTGTCTCAGCGCTTTTTTCTTTTTATTGCAACTCCGTACAAATTAAAATAAATCAGGATCATTTAATATACAAATAATTCATGCGATAAGGATTCAGAGGGTAAAATAAATTTTTTCCTTTAAAATCATATAAAATCTTATTTTAAATTTAAAGAAGCTAAAAATGAACAGGACATGATCTTTTTCGATATTCCCCGTTCTATTAATTCTTTGGTAGATTAAATAGTCGTTCTTTACTTGGACTACTAAAAAACATTTTTAATACATGATCATATATTTCTTCGTTCATTATAATTTATAAGAATGAACGTGAAAAGTATAAAAAATATGCTTAAATACGCTCTGTTTGACCTTATGTATGCTTATTACGTTTCATGTGAACGTAATTTATACAAAATTTCTATTCTTATCGTACAAGACGAAACAGCATTTAACAGCATTAAAAGAATATCATTGATGAGTGATACACTATCTCAAGATAACAGAATTTTTATTCCTGTTTAGCTGGCAAACAAATCAGTTGTATTGCACAAGAGGCTACCCTTTCTGTTCGCATAGACAAATTAATTCAGTGCCTTTTCCTTTTTAATTAAAGATTTATTTTTCAAAAATTATGGCAATTATTCAAAAGGCACCGAATTAATTTAAAGAAACCTGCTATACACACTTATGCATATCATTTTTTCTATTTTAATAAAATCGCAATAAATGCAATCACGATCGTTTTAACAAATAGTCTTTATAAAACTTCCTTTTCCTTTTTCTACAGCAACATTTTAAAGGCAAATCAGTCTTTGACGGTAATTTCCTTATATTGTTCTATTTACAGTGAACACAACATGAATTGTTTATAATAAAACCTAATTCATTAAAATCTCACTCGTAACATTGGTGTTGTTTTTTCTTTCCGTTACACACGTTTTTCCGATTTGAATTTCAGCAACGTAAACGTTGTCAGATCCAAGATAACGTACAACCCAGCCAATACGATCAAAGAAAACCAATAATCAGCTTGTTTCATGTCCATGGCGTTTAATAGCGTCTCTGGTATAGCAAAGTGGCAATAAACGTCTGAACATGAAAGTTTTGGTCTGTTGTAACTGAAACAGATATTCATAATGATCAGTTAAATCTATAATAATAAATCGTATGTTCGAAGACCTTTCTTACCCATAAATGGCAATCATTACACCCTCAAAACCGTATTTAAGAAACGACAAGTGAAATATCCAACGTAACCACGGATGAGCATCTCTAAACTGTACAAAGAATCCGCTAAATATCAAGAATGGAAGAATCATAAGTGGTCCAAAGATCATACCATGCTGGAAGAATGTAAAACAGAACTCTACAATGTTACACTCAATTTAATAAACATTGTATATTATTTAGAAACATTTTACAGACCTGGACTTTCATTCCAGTTCCAACCAACAATCCTATCGTTTGGGCAACCAAGCTAATAGCGCAACACATTACCGTGTACAAACAAAATCGTTTGAGTTCGAACAACTGATTGCTCATATAATAGACTATGAGAATGTATAAAGAAATTGCAGTGAATTGAATTGGAATGTCGGCTAATTTGTTGGCCAAATAAAAGGAGTGTAATTTGTACCAGCGATTGAAATGTTCCCGCATAATGATTGGTAATTCCAAGGGAACTGTTAACAATCAAAAACACTCCAATTTAGTGGCGGCTCGTAGCTAAAATTAGTAGGGGTGCTGCTCCAGAAAATTTTTAGTCTTTGTTTTAAAAAAACCGGCGCTGCGGGAGCGACAATGTTCTCTCTCCCACGCAGCCTCGCGCGCAGCTTCCTATCTGCGCATGCGCGCACAGTTCCATACAAAGATTTTTCTATCTTTTTTATAAACTAGGGGATGGCTACTGACAATTAAGCTTAAGGATTATATATTATACAAGTATAAAGAAAGAATTCAAGAAAAAAGGACTCATTATATTAAATGTTATCGATAATATCAAGTGGAAATAGTGGGTGCTGCAGTTCCACAGTGCCTATACGCGAGCCGCTACTGTTCCAATTAATTAATTTTAACTGTTATCATTATCTTTGTAATAATTTCACTTACATGTTGTTACAGTTGCACTGAACGCGCTAAACATTAGAAACATTACATTGAAAAATAGAAGATTGAAATTATCCAACACGTATACAGCGTCCTGTCCGATTCGGAAATAAATTGTACCGACGATCAAAGCGATTATAAAATGCATCGAGAGCCGTGTGAATGTTAATACCTGTAGAAAATGTAAACAGATCATCAATCATTGTTACCCTACTACATAATTTACTGTAATATCAAACTGTCACCAAGGACAACTACTTGAGTGGTTGTATTACATGGTATTCTCTTACAATGTTTCTCTTAAAACAAATCATTACCAATGAAAAAGATTCCATTACCTTGTCCCGGGATAGTTTAATGGCATTTCTTTTGAGGAGGACGGCTAACTGTTTCCAAAAATTCGTCGCATATTCTGAGGTGAACCTGCGTCTACGGGCGTAATCCGTTTCCATCGCGGATCGCTGCCGAAGTGCTTGGAAGGAAGCCATCACGTTTAAAGCGATTACTTCCTCCTGATGATTGGCAGTGGTTACATTGCTCGTTGACCTCCAAGCATTGTTCTTTCCATTTTCGATGGCGTTTATCAGTTTTGATACGTGTCTACCGTAATCTCCATTACAAATCTCCATCACTGTAAGAAAAGAATATTTATCTCGTCCATGTTCTTTTCCTTAACACGTTCACTTGACACGACTATACTCACGGTAGTCAGCTGGATTGTAGTGCGTCGGACACTGGAAACCGAGGCCGCTCAAATAAGGTACTAAATTCTGCGTGCTACCGGTATAAACGCAGCTTCCATCAGCTATCACGTAAAGATGATCAACCATGTTCAACAGAGAAGCGCTCGGTTGGTGAATCGAGCAAATCACCGTTTGTCCTGACTTTGCCAATTGCTTTAGCAATGTTATACAATACTTTGAAGTGACGCTATCTAATCCGCTATAAATTGAATACGATAAGATGATTATTAATGTTTTTTTGAATAATGTACTATATTTATACCTAGTAGGTTCGTCGAGAAACAAAATTGGCGGGCAGTTAATTAATTCTAGTGCAATTGCAAGCCTTTTTCTTTCTCCACCGCTGAGTTGTCCTGTACGCGTGTGTCGACACGTGTCCAGGCTCATTGTGATCAAGATCTGCTCGATCTGAAACCGTATATAATACTAAGGTATATGAAAGAGTTACCCTTGGACAGCTTAAGATTAATAAAGAAAATTTAATCATAGTTAGCTCCAGTTAACAAAGACACTCTCAGGGCTGGCTCTGGGCCTAGAGCCCCCATAAGACGATTTTGCGTCTAAGAATGCAAGAAGAGTAATGTTTGAATATTAATCGACATAAATGCAAATCTAAATTACTTATACAAGCTTTAATGTTAATTTTATAAATTTTATTTGAGGTACTTTTTTTATGTCATATATGTGAAGGGGCCCTTTTTCGTAGCTCACCTCGAACCCTCGAAATCTCAGGGCCGAACCCAAACACTGTACAGCATACCTTTTGTTTCTTTTGTTGCGGACTAGCGGTAAGTTTCAGCTCTGCAGCGACGTTCATTGCTTCCTGTACCGTCAACAGTGGCTGCAAATTGTCGTTTTGCATTATGTACGCAGAGAACCGTCGAAATTCATTGAGATTCCTAGGTTTTGAATTAACCATTATATTCCCAGTCACGTCAGCCGTTCTGAAAAAGGGTCCAAAGCATGTTCATATTCATTTGGATTCAACATCTTTGCGCAGGCTCGCGCGCAGCGTCCTATGTGCGCATGCGCGCACAGTCAAATACCATGGCGCTGAAGATTTTTCTATCTTTTTCATAAACTGGGGGATGGCTACTGACAATTAAGCTTGAGGATTATATATTGTACAAGTGTAAAGAAAGAATTATAGAAAAAAAGGACTCGTTATATTAAATGTTATCGATAATATCAAGTGGAAATAGGGACTGCTGCAGTTCCACAATGCTTATACGCGAGACGCCTCTGAAATCGATATGCATATGAGATTGATTTGCTTGTTTAGAGTTTAATCGTTGATTAAATTTACGTCCCATTCGTTCTGCTTCGGTTATTGACCAGTACTTAAGATAAATCACAATGGTTCATTTAAGACCATCCTTAGGGTAACCTACTTATGGTAATGCTAAAACTAACCGAAGAATTTTACAGTTCTCTGTAATTCCTACAAAAGAATATGTATTAATGAAAGATATAGAAACATCAAAAATAAAAGATTTTTTCTTTAAGTCACCTTATCTTTTAAAAAATCTCAGTGAAGTCGTCTAGACTATTGGCATCCTGTTTTACAAGTTTTTCTGTCACCTCTTTTACAGTGGTACACGTAACAAATGGATGTATTAATAACATAAAAGAATATTAACAATTATCGGTCTGTTTCTAATGAATCAATAAGTCTTCAATTATTTTGAGCAACATTTTAACTTTAGCTGCATTTCTTGGTGCATTCGCAAGCGTGACGCCACGAGCAGCGTTTATCGTTCATTTATGAAATAATATATTTCTTTGGTCACGTAGGTTTATCGGCGATAACAGCGTTTCCACCAGTGTGCGTTGCAACCACGCTACTTGACGAAGATCATCGTTTCTTCAGTCAAGTACATAGCAAAATAATTGCAGATACCTGCATGTTACATACAGTGACTCAGAGAAATAAATAAACAAAAATACAGGTTTCTGAGCAGTAACACGGTATATAAAAACATCCATGCTTTTCCATTTTTACATGTATAAAGATGAAGCATCTTTAAAGCATGTTAAAATACTTTCAAAAAATTAAAACACCTTTCTGTGTTATCCAAATGCTATACCATAGAAATAAACGTTATCAATTTCGTTCAACGTTATTGACAGATAAAAGCAATGAAAACGATCGAAATGAGGTCGCCACGGGCCAATAAATATTAAATTCCTAATCTTCCAGAACTTTTAAAATTCTCAGTAGAGGCTGTGCGACGTTTATAAATTAATATTTCACAAGTGAAGATTATTTAAACGTTACTAGAATTGCCACAATGAAATAATTGAACGTAAGGTGTAATAATAGCATAGATCATGCTCGTCGTGTAACATTAAGCTATAAATATTTACAGAAATGCATAGAAAACGCTTTCTAAGAATATCAGCGACCTCGTTGCATATGAATAAAAGTATTTGGACGTCTGTCCCATTGCAATCTATACAAATATCATCTTCGTCATAAGCGGAAATGTTATCTGCAAGGAAGCCACCGTGTATTATGTAATCTCTTTCAGTCATCTGTACCCTTTTAGTGCTTAATGGGTTCATTTCTGTTTCAATTGTTGTCAATTAAAGAGTTGATATTTTAAGTGAATCAAATTATTTGAAACACCCTGCACATCTGCTTGACCAGATCCATTGGCTACTGTGAGTTAATAATGTAAGTACATGTATGTATGTTAATATAATGCTGATAATGATAAATTTATTAAGCTTAATTTTTAACGAGGTTCCAGAAACGTAAGTGCCAGAATTATAAGTGAGCAAAAAAGATAAGAAGTTTACTAACATAAAGCCTGTCAAAACATCCATCAGCGTCGACTTTCCAGCACCCGATAATCCCATTATTGCAGTCAGTTCGCCGGCTCTGAATTCACCGCTCAAGTTTTTCAGCAATTCGGTCTTCTCTGAAACAGATATCCATGTCAACGCTTTCTAAAAACTCGAATCGTTAAAATGATACGACATATTAAAATACTGGAGAAAGTGGAATATTGAGAAACATATGTACACTCTGTTTTATAGTAAAATATGAAAGAAATAACATTGTTGGACGAAACGATTTGTATTTAATTTGTTTAAACCGAAATGAGTGGCCCTCCTTATCTCCTTATCTTCATAATCTGTGTATTTTAGCGCCACGTGATGTCCAAAAGTACACCATAAATTCTATGAACACTTAAGAGGTTTCGAAATAGTTATTAGAAAAAGAAGAAATTGATATTTTATGTTAACTTTATGAAACTTTAATGCATTGCTCGAGTATTAATTAACCTAATAAATTGTAGAGAATTTACTCTTCTTACATTCTTAAACGAAAAATCGTCTTATGGGGGCCCCCTAATTTCCCTAGGCCCAGGGCCGGCCCTGGCTTCCGGATGCAAGGCACGAACCATCCGCCATTGCACCAAACTACATTATTAAAAATATTTACGGGATATTATGCAAGTGAGCGAATGATTGTTAAGCCAGTAATTAATACTCCTGTTAAAATTTATGATAGCTCATTAGTTCACCTCGTCCTGTTTTCATACAACCATGCAATCTAGTGCATCAGGCCTCGCTAATATTTGCAAACACAATCACGGAAACCGATTGTTCCCGCTAACGTAAAAAGTATAATCAATAATTTAAACGAAGTTAAATTGTGGAGATACTCTTTCCTATCTTTGATCATGACAAAATGAGGGTTATTGGATTTGTTGCAGACGACACAATTCTATTATTATGACTGAAAGGAGTATTAACACCATGTTCGTTGGATGTTTCAGGGTTAATAAACTTATAAGAGAAGTACGGTCACACACGAGACGCGACAACGCGCATCATTCTGCGCATAATCTATTTATACAGCCTCAAGCGACTTCTCAAGCATTCGAACTCGACAAACCTTGTCGCCTTATTTGTTTTAGCGAATAATATAAATATATAAATAATGCTGGTACCTTTTATTAATTCTACGATAATTTATACTGTTTACAGTATCGTCTGTTATCGTGGAACGATCGAAAATTACTTTATTACCGATCTTAGATAAGTATTCTAAAATCGTTTCACTCGATGGAGGGTAATGGTAGATGATAAGTTAACTACTAACATTATTAGTGATCAGTACGTATGCCATTGTACGATCTAAGGCAGTGTACACATCATCGCGAACAAACCATTCATTATCCGAGTCACTCATAAGTAGCTACTATTTATTTTAATTATTATCAGCAACCGCCTAATGTTTCCTTCATTTCAATTCCTGATTTTGACTTATACAATTTCATATATCATTTACATGCGTCTGGTCGCCTACAACAGGCGATCACATTACAACCGCAGAACTAAATTTCCATAATCATTAAATAGTCAGCCGTACCATGTATAATTTGATATAGTTCATTTATGTTAACATGGCAGTGTTATCTTGTTAGGCTTACTGATACCAAAGCAACATTTTTCTTCCACGTGCCACTGGCTGCCATTACAAATATAATTATTTTATTACGCTCTGATAATGAGTACAGTGCTGCATAAACGATCACCAATTTCTTTTCCAATCGAAAAGACATTTTTGATCATTGCGTCTCAATAATTACATTTTCGTTGAATGATTTAGATCCTGCCTGGAACGTATCGGATTGAATGAGTGGCGTGCCGTTATATTACGATAAGGAAAGTCGGATAAGGAATACTGCAAACAAAGATTACTGAAATACAGCTTTCTTTTTAAATATGTATATAAATGTCGACGGTTTGCTTTATGACTGACGCCTTCTTAAATATGACCCAGCCTTGACAAGTATTAATTTAAAGAAAAGTAATATTTCTTCATTTTATGCACCAGTGATCTAAAGGGGGTCAAGATGAGTAGCCTCTACGGCCTAATGGCTGATGTCGTGCTCGTTGAATTAACCCAGGGGTGGGCAAATAGCGGCCCGCTAAGAGCTTTTTGTGGCCCGCCAAGACAGTCAGAAAGATCCGCCTTGAAGATTTATCTTATATTTAGATAAATTGAATAAAATAAAAAATTTTATTGATTTTTATGGATTTTCTGAAATTGCAATCATTTTAAAAGGTGCGACCCTTCGCTAACCTCCGCTTCCACAAAGTGGCCCACGAGCCAAAACAATTGCCCACCCCTGAACTAACCCAATTAACCAGCGATCTAGGTGACTTTAGGGACATTTTATTTCCCCACCCGTTTTATGACTACTACTACTACTACTAACATTTCTTCTTACCTCTGGAAAATATCCATGGACGGGCTTTATAGGAAATATCCTCGAATACTAAGAATATCGAGTTGTCGATGTCCATTTGGTCGTCTACCTTTTTCGTACTGCTTGGTGCGTTTTCTGAACTAGACACCGCGTGTCTCAGCTGCTGCTGCATTTCGATGAGTACTTTCGTGCCCATTTTTCTCCCTCGTTTCCTCCTAGTATGTACATCCGAGTTTTCACTCCGTCTGCTTTCACTTTCGTTTCTCAATCACCGATGTATTCTTTTAATTTTATTCGACACTAAACACACAACAAGACACACGTGAAAATGAAATTAAAAACAACACGATGCATTGTGGGCAGACATTCATGTACAAGGCAAACAGTGTCGACCGCGTCGAGACATTTATTGTTGATACTAAATTTTAATTATACTCTGTCATCGTCACAGCGAAAATCACTGTACAAGATTAAAAAATGTTCATCGCTTTTTATTCATCATTTGAATTGCAAATAGCAACACGTGTAGTATGAATATTTAATGGAATACTTTTTGCCTCGTGCCTTACGCAGAAACAGATTTGCAGCAAAAGTAACTTTAACAGAATTGGGGACAGAATATAGCAATTAAAAATCGATTAAAACAAAACAAAAGAACCCGAGTTTTAATTTACGGAACAGGAATTCAAATTTCGCGCGATAGCATAATTCCGATTTCTTTCATTGACTTAACCTGACCATTCGTCAAGGACACCACCGATCTCTGATTTTATTCTATATAAACACTCCCTATGACCGCTGTGATTGGCTTGCAAAGAATGGTCAAAATTGATGATCTAAATTTTCAGTTAAAAAATCACAAAAATCCCTATCATTTGTTTAATAGCGGAGTTTCGTTCGAATAAAAAGATACTGCAAGCGTATATACGTATATAAAACATTAAGTTTGTTATGAAATCTACTTTGAAATAGTTTCAAAATTTCCACGAGCCAAAACTTGAAATCTAAAGAGCTCTCAAACGCCCATATCGCTCGAATGTTTGTATTATCGGCTTCAGACGCACTACCATCATGAAAAGTTCCGAGATCAAGGAGCAACGAACGAAATACAATCGCCCTTCTTTCTTTTTTTTTTTTGCGGTTCATAATATCCGCCACGTGCCTTGCAATGATTCTAACAACAAGTCCGTCAGAAAACATCTACAGTGTCTGTCATCAAACATTAACATTGTAAATGAAGTTAGTAAGCATACAATGATAAACACTGATAAAATATTGAGTTTAACTGATATATTCATCAAATGCCAAGCATTCGATAAATGTATTGAATAAAAATTTTCTTTCATTGAGCGTAACACATACCGATGAGATTTTTCACAAGTGTCGAACAGCCACTATATCAACACTGCCTTACAGTAAATAATCCTCTAATAATTTTATATCTGTTGCACTTTGTAGCACGATTGTTGACGTATCATCGAAGGCGACGCGTCGTGAACCGCATACAAATGTCGCGACAAGTAAGCCGCGTCGTAAGTACAAAAAGTAAAGGTCGCCTTCGAAAGCGTACTCCTTGTGCGCGCTTGGAGGCGTGTTGCTGTACTGATGATTCCGAGGCGAGACAAAGCTTCATAATTCTCCCTCCTCTCCTTGGTTAATAACCACGCACGTTCCTACGAACGCGTAAGAGTTCGGTTGACCGAATTGCCTAGTCCAAATAATTAACCCGTTCTACGCTGATCAAACAGTTTCCATGTTTATCGATTGTAATATTTGAACCTCCTGTAATGCGTTCAACCGTGAAATTGAGAAATCTAAAATGAAAAAATCGATGGGAGAAATACATTCACCACGTTCAACACGTTGATTGCTCTAATGATGCATGTGTAATTTGCGGTGCCGGCCACCGGTGACCCCCATGGCATTCAACGTGGCTTTGTACATTATCTGTTTCTTTAGTAATTAACTATTGAGATGCGATTTCTAGATAAAGATTAATGGATTTTGGATGACAGAACTTTGAATATTGATAATTTTTAGTAATGACTATTGTTAGGATGCTTGCAGGAAACTTCCTCTTTGTTAGCATAAGAAAATGATTCATAAGTATGTGTGTCTAGGTTGGACTCCTGATTCTTTGGACATTATCAGGGTCACTTTCTTTGTATAAAAAAGAAATGTCAATTAATGCAACAAAGCTGATAAAATTGTAGACATTACAGATTGGAGACTTCGATTGAACAAAGTAACACAAATTAATATAAGGATTGAATTCATACCTCGATCGAACGATTATTTATCAAATGTTATCAATCTTTAAATAATCACTTGTTTAATAAATTGATTTGTGATAAACAGCAGGTGTGCAATAAAAAAGATCATTCAACAATGTTGCTTTATCAGGCTTTCTTGTATGAAGTTTTAAAAAATATGTTTATCTTAGTCTATCGGGACATTATCTTCCGGGAGTTCTACAAAATGGCCCTGCATCACCTACACTTTTTGTTGATAAAGAATCAAAATTATATGAGAATGTATTGTGTTTGAATAAAAACGAGGTAATGTTTTAAACATTCGGTTATTACTGAATTATTACCACCTTCTCTTTAGATGTACGACCTTGTTTCACGTTAGTGTTGAAAGCTCACTGGTGTCTGCATACACTGTCTATAGCTGTACAATATTGCACGAGCTGATACTTGAATAATAGTACAGCTGTATCTCTTTCTCGTGAACATTATGCTGCCTATTTATTATAATTCTGGCCATTTTGGCAAAGTTACAAAATACTCTGTAAAATTGCATCAATGTATTAAGCACGTGCAACTGTGCAACTATGTTTGCTTATACATAAGTATCGGAACATTATTGAAATATATAGATTTAGAAACTTCAGATTGTAGGATCGAATAGAGTCGATTGAAACTGAAGTTAATATTACTTACCATTGCACTTTTGAAATATTATAACATTTATCATTTTCTAAAATTGTATTATGATGTTTTGAATCTTTCTAACCGCAACGTGCAACTAAATTAATGCAGGAAACATTTTTTATCTACCGCGTATCGAATTGTTGCGGATGAATCACGTGGGATGGCGCTCGGTACACGATATTTTTTGAAAGATCTGGATTTCATTCTTGCTAACACCTAAATTTCACTTAAAAATATACGAATAATATTCATTTAGGATTCAAATTAGTTCTCCAAATTATACGGTTATGATGCACTAAATGCATAAAATAAATAATACATTTTTTTCAATCTATGTCATTTCTAACCTCGTAGCGTTTGCGTGTAGGTAGAAACATCTATGAAGGAAAATACTGGTTACTTGGAAATACATTTAATAACAGATTTCTGTGATAATATCGATGATAAATAATGTACGTGACAAAATGCAACAATTTAAATTCCCCGCTATTTACGCATGCGCGTTTAATTAAGCGTCTAAGACCTGATTCAGTGTTTGAACGCCATCTTTATTGGCTTTATATGACGCGCGGGGTAGTGCGGTGGATGTGTCAAATCGCAAGAACGACGGCAATATTTAGTTGAACATGGTGTTTATACAAGAGAGGTGATTATTCGCGTTGAATTATCGATGTAAGTAACGCATCCTGCTTGACGATAACACGATAAATCGTGCGATTTTCAATGTGTTCATTCGTATCGGTCAATATTACTGCCAACACGAGATTTCGTGATCAGCCATCATTTGTATGGTGAAAACACCCTTGAAGAATCTAACATGTGATAGAAACACCGAAGACGATGCTTCTTTTACGTCCTAACGATATGTCACATTTGTTTCTCCGACCGATAGACAGATATAAATAAATATATATCAGGAATTTCTTGACAATAGATATCATCCATTTTGTTTATGCTCATCCGGCACCTCTCGTCTCAAAAACATCGACACCTCGCTTTTATCCTCTCCGTTTGAATGTTATTTGTGAGAACATAAAATTAGAGTGTAATGAATGAAATTTCTTTCAAACGCTATCACAATTTCATTAGACCGTTTTTTGCATGATGATGCAACTGTTGCAGTGACTGTAAATATAGATGCGTTACGAGCGAATGTTTACATATTACATGTTTACATATTTGTAGCTATTGCTTTTTATATAATTACCTTTGAATAAAGTATATATTTTTAAACCATACTCACAATCATTCTCCTTAAGAATGTTGCTTACTTAATTTCAATACCTAATTACAAAATGCTAATTCTTTTTTTAATTTTCAGGTGTATAAACTAGATAAAAAATGGTTAGTAACAATTCAAGGGGTACTCCCCGTATCCAGGTCTTTAGACCTACATACGAAGAATTTAAGGATTTTACTAAATATGTGGAGTACATGGAAAGTAAAGGAGCCCACAAAGCTGGTTTAGCAAAAGTTATTCCACCACCTGAATGGGTACCAAGGAAAGGAGGCTACAATTTAGACAACTTAGATCTTACTATTCCTGCTCCAATTTGTCAGGTGGTAACTGGCAAACAGGGTCTTTACCAACAAATTAATATACAGAAGAAATCTATGACCGTCAAAGAATATAGTAAACTGGCCAATTCCGAGCGGTATAATACTCCACGTCATTTTGATTACGAAGACTTGGAAAGAAAGTACTGGAAGAATATAACATACGTAGCGCCCATATACGGGGCGGATGTATCTGGCTCGTTAACCGATCCGGACGTAAAAGAATGGAATATCAACCATTTAGGAACGATACTCGATTACGTGAACAAAGACTATGGTATATCTATCGACGGTGTTAACACGGCTTACTTGTATTTTGGAATGTGGAAAACCACATTCGCATGGCACACGGAGGACATGGATTTGTATTCGATAAACTACTTACATTTCGGTGCTCCAAAGACGTGGTACGCTATACCACCGGAACATGGACGAAGATTGGAAAGACTTGCCAGCGGTTTTTTTCCATCGAGTTACCAAAGTTGTCAAGCGTTTTTGCGTCACAAAATGTCTCTCATCTCTCCTCAGATATTGCGGCAATATTCGATTCCATGCAATAAAGTAAGTTTGAATTAAAAAACGAGTACAAAGAATTATAGACTAATGAATCATTTTTTTCTTTTTTTTTTACTTCTAGATAACTCAAGAAGCTGGAGAAATAATGATTACCTTTCCTTATGGCTATCACGCTGGCTTTAATCACGGATTCAATTGCGCTGAATCAACTAATTTCGCTGCACCGCGATGGGTAGAGTATGGTAAAAGGGCTACACAATGTACATGTAGTAAAGATATGGTTAAAATATCAATGGACACTTTTGTCAAGCGTTTTCAGCCAGAAAGGTAATGAGGGAAAGTTGTTAGAAAGGTGTATACTAGTTAAAATCAATTTATGGTATTATTAAAGATGCTAAAATAAGCTAATCAGAAACGTTCCATTTCAGGTATGAATTATGGTTACGGGGTGAAGATATCGGTCCTCATCCGGAGGATCCTAGACAAACAGCCGCGCCTATGCCCTCTCAAATGGATCTTCTGTGTAGCAATAGTAGTAACGGGCAATTGCCTCAGAGCTATCTGAATGCAGCTCCAAAAAATAAACGGCATACGATACATAAGAAGAAGAATATCATGGCAACGAACCCGGACGTTGATATGGAAGAGCTAGTGAATCGTCCGGATATTCCTCCGGACGTGAAGAAAGTATTACAAGATCTAGAATTAGAGGAGGTGGATGATGGGCCAGACGAGCAACAGTTAGAAGTACTCGAAGACATATGGTTAAAAGCTGGAGAAATGGGTAAAGAATTGTATCTTATAATTAATTTCTATTCTTTCGTGTAATTTAATTAATAACGATTTATACCGATCACAGATGTACACGAGGCTTCTGTTTACGATGATGGTTACAATCGTAAAAAGAGTCGGAAGCGAAAGAAGAAGAACGCCGATAAGGATAAATCAAAGTCTAAAAGGGATTCTAACAAAAGTATTATAGAAAACGTGACTGTGAAGACTGAAATAAAAGTGGAACCAGACGATAGCCTTAACTACGAATCTTCTTCGTTCCCAGATCAAAGTATCGAGTTAGATAACGACAGTCACGAAGATAGCAATGTCATCGTATCGAATGATATTACTGGAAGCATTAAACTGGAGGATGCTTCTGATTTCTCTGAAGCCACCGAGAAGCCGGTTAAGAAGAAGAAGAAGCATTCAAAGTCTGGGGAACAGAAGAAAGCGAAATCAAAGAACGTGAATAAAACTAAACGTAAACATTTGAATATATCTATCTTCGATATTAACGAACCTTTGGACGTGTCCGACGCTGACGTCCAAAGGAAGCTTATGGCTATGCCGAGTCTTCACGCGCATAAATCATTGACTGACAGTCAATCAAGGATGAATGATATATCGGAGAGTATCATTTTCACCGATAACGATACTGATACCAGCCCAGTCAAGGTTAAAACTGTTTTAAACATTGCAAGTAGCGGTCAAGTAGCAAGTTCTATTTATAGTGATACGAAGGGGACAGATAATACGGATGAACGGATAAATGTATATACAAAGAGTACCAAGAAGACTAACCCTGTATCCATTAAAACGTTCGGTAAACAGCAATCGTTGTTAAAAGCT